TTGTTGAAATTGTTCGGGAAATGTTTTAGTATGTTGTTACAACTCCCATTTTCCTATATCAAGTATTGGATAAATGGTCTGTAAAACAAAAGCTAATATCTTATACCATTGATATTTTTTGACAAATATTTATCCTTTGATAAATCATAATCATTCCCTGGTCGTCTTTGTAAAAGGCGAGTAAGCTATCCACTACACCTCCCGACAAACCCAGTTTTAAGCCTTTATTCTTACCAAAGTGAAACAGTTATGAAAGCCTGATTTAGTATCACAACTTTTTACTCCGAACGTAATTGGCTATCAAACAGATCTTAGGTTAAGAAGCCAACCAGCTTAAACCTGATGATATATTCATAGCATATTAGCCCCGACGACGTTACATTCAAAAGCGCCACACATCGTCTCCAAGAATCGTTCTATTCAGACCTCTGTATTCCCCCACCACTTACTTACTCTGGACAATAAAACTAACGTTTCTTTTAAAAGTCTTCCTGCCTATGATGTTGAATACATCATTTGAATGAAAGTGTAAGGAGGGTCTTCTTTCTTTTCTGCAAGGATTTTATTATTATTCTTGTAAGCAGTCATTGTCTAGTTTGCTGTATAGACTGTTTATCTGTTTTCTTTCATCCTGACCACGTTACATTTCATTAGCAAAACTTTATCTGATTTTTTTTCTTGAGTAAACCCTAAGAGAAAAGAATCTGATCTTTAATTGAAATTAAACGTATTACAAATTGATTCAAGGGGATTTTATCATATCGCACGAACATTAAGAAATTGATTCGAGGGGATATCATCATATCCTAGGAACATTAAGAAATTGATTCAAGGGTAAGCTTTATAAATGTTACCACGTGAACAATTTTATGACATATTTTAAAACTCTACTGAATTTGCTAAAAGATAACACGAGCATTATTCCCATGGTTTACTTTTATTTACATGTGGTTTCTCCGCGACTCATCAATAAACGGGAGCGATGCGAAGGTCATATTCTAATAAGAATGATTGTAATAGCGCAGTGATTGATTTCGAGCTATCATATTGGCATTAGAGCGTGTTTATGGTGATGGGACATTTAAAGTTGTAGTAGTTTAAATTTGTTAATTGCATTTTCTGATAATTACGTGTCATATATTGATGGCTCTTTAATCTTGTAACTATCCTTTAAACCATCATGAGAGTTATCCAGATATTAATATTATAAATATAACCCCATATTGTTTTATGATAACAAAATTTATGGCTCTGACGTCACATCTCAAAATTTCAAAAATTTGAATACCGTCACGTTATCAAATGATTATATGCTAATTAATAATATAAATCAATTACAACACTTTTGATGACGTTGCATTACTTGAGTATTTTCTGTTTACAGTGCTCGAAGATGACAAATGATGAGTTACCTGAACAAACAAAGAATGCGATGGGATCCTGATATGGGGAATTAACATTAGCAATATAGATAAACCTTTTAGCGGAGATTATTTGGAACCGCAGTAGGATAGATATATAGGACAATATCGTCAAAGGAAATACTGATGATTTGGTTAGATCTTGAATGTTTTGACCTACGAGGCAATATACATGTAAGCCGTGTGTGCCTCAATCATAAGACAAGGTGGATATAGTACATATAGATGTAGTATTGGTGGCGACTTTTAGAAACAATTTTCGCCAGGTCATGCAAAACAAAATTACGTTTAATGTTGTGATTATTTTCTGTATGTATATCAAACATTTCATCTTTTCATTTTGAAACTGTCAATTTCATTTTATTTGTTTTTTGTTTTTGTTTAATGAAGAATTTTGAGTAAACATGAATAGATTAAAATGCGTTCAATGTTAACATTACTATAAAATCATTGATTTCGTTACGTTCTTTGTAAAGCAATTGTGATGTAAACAAATTTGGCGGTCATGTTTATTAATCATATTAGTTACTAAACATCATCTGTGCTCACTATCATTTAAAATGCATATAATTGGTTAAGGCAGGTGGAGAGTATTTATATATAAAAGTGAAGACATTGAATTTCATCATCTGTGTTCAATCAGTTGTAAAGAAAGTCTAGAAGTTTTGTACTAATAATAGTCAGTCACTTGTTAGCTTAAAATCAACATAAATAATCATATCTATACCACGTTGTGATGTTGTCTGATTTTTTCAAGTTGTTTTGAAGTGTATAACGTCACGACTATTGCCTAAATAGCGACGTCACAATTTAAACACATATAACGTCTAAATTAGAAAGTCATGCAATATTAACAGACTTAAATTCAGTTTGTTTACCGTTTATAAAGCAACACAGCTTATGATGATTTTCAACACGATTTTATTTAGACATACGTTCCTTGATGCTGATGCGGTGGGTGTGAGTAAGGGCGATTGTGTATGGATGGCGGATGTAGAGTAGAAAGATGATGTGTTGATGTAAAAATACACAAGTGTTAATGTTGTGATGCAACTGAAAAGATGCATGTACTTATAATATATGAAATGATGATTGAGGTAATGACATCACAATGTATGTGAGATGATGATGATGAGGATGATGGAGGTAATGGCATCACAATGTATGTGAGATGATGATGATGATGATGATGATGATGATGATGATGGAGGTAATGGCATCACAATGTATGTGAGATGATGATGATGATGATGATGATGATGATGATGATGATGATGATGATGATGATGATGATGATGATGGAGGTAATGGCATCACAATGTATGTGAGATGATGATGATGATGATGATGATGATGATGATGATGATGAAGGTAATGGCATCACAATGTATGTGAGTGAGTGGACGTTTTTGTTGTTGTTGTTTTATGTATCAATAAAACTTGTGGGGAAACAAAGTTCCTTGATGCATGGTAGCCTACATGTATATGCCACATTAGAGCAGCAAACATGTTTTAATTAAACATTCATGTCAAAGTAATGTACTGTATTTCCTATGTCTCCATGTCACAGTAATGTACGGTATTTCCTACGTCTCCATGTCACAGTAATGTACTGTATTTCCTACGTCTCCATGTTACAGTAATGTACTGTATTTCCCAAGTCTTCATGTCACAGTTATGTACTATATTTCCTACGTCTCTATGTCACAGTAATGTATTGTATATCATACGTCTTCATGTTACAGTAATGTACGGTATTTCATAAGTCTCCATGTCACAGTAATGTACGGTATTTCCTACGTCTCCATGTCACAGTAATGTACGGTATTTCCTACGTCTCCATGTCACAGTTATGTACTGTATTTCCTACGTCTCCACGTCACAGTAATGTATTGTATTTCCTACGTCTCCATGTTACAGTAATGTTAGGTATTTCATAAGTATCCATGTCACAGTTATGTACTGTTATCCTATGTCTCCATGTCACAGTAACGTATTGTATATCATACGTCTCCATGTCACAGTAACGTACTGTATTTCCTACGTCTCCATGTCACAGTAATGTACTGTATTTCCTACGTCTCCACGTCACAGTAATGTACTCTATTTCCTAAGTCTCCATGTCACAATAATGTACTGTATTTCCTACGTCTCCATGTCACAGTTATGCACTGCTATCCTAAGTCGCTATGTCACATTAATGTACTGTATTTCCTAAGTCTTCATGTCACAGTAACGTACTGTATTTCCTACGACTCCACGTCACAGTAATGTACTGTATTTCCTACGTCTCCATGTCACAGTAATGTACTGTATTTCCTATTTCTCCATGTCACAGTTATGTACTGTAATCCTATGTCTCCATGTCACAGTAATGTACTGTATTTCTTACGTTTCCATGTCACAGTTATGTACTGTTATCCTAAGTCTCTATGTCACATTAATGTACTGTATTTCCTATTTCTCCATGTCACAGTAATGTGCTGTATTTCCTAAGTCTGTATGTCACAGTAATGTAGAATGAATCTTATAGTCTGCATGTTACAATAGTAAACACTGTCATGTAGTTTGTCTTCTCAAGTCTCCATGTCACAGTAAGGTAGCATACACCCATGATATACCATGTCTCAGTAAGGTAGCATACACCCATGAGACTCCATGTCTTATTAAGGAAGCATACACCCATGAGACTTCATGTCACAGTAAGGTAGCATACACCCATGAGACTCCATGTCATATTAAGGTAGCATACACCCATGAGACCCCATGTCACAGTAAGGTAACATACACCCATGAGACACCATGTCACAGTAAGGAGCATACACCCATGCGACTCCATGTCGTAATAAGGTAGCATACACCCATGAGACTCCATGTCACAGTTAGATAGCATACCCCCATGAGACTCCATGTCACAGTAAGGTAACATACACCCATGAGACTCCATGTCACAGTAAGGTAGCATACACCCATGAGACTCCAAGTCTTATTAAGTAGTATGATTGCTCTGTACAGTAAGTTTATTAACTAAGTTTGTTCGGTTCATAAGTTATTTTATACTATAGTGCTGCTGTTTACCACATTTAACTTTTTTGTCCTCCATAAAGTTGGCAAATTTCAAAACCAACAAATACTGGTACACAGCATACCATAATAACTGTGTGTGACAGGCGAGATTAACAATGGTCAAGTCTAGGTTTTATTGGTCAACGGAGAATATTTGACCAGAGGTTTACTGGTATACGAAAGTAGAATGAAACCTATCTTAGCCTACACAACGAAGGATGGGTTCAATTGGTCTAATGTGACAGTGTATTCACTGTTGGTTAGCTAAAGGTTATGGTTAGATAGGGAGAAATTGTTTTTTTGTTGCCATTAATTCATGTACATATTACGTTATGTCCTTTTAAATCCTGTGCTTCTTAAGGCAGGTTTCAATCAATTAAACAATTGTGGTATTTTGGACTTATCTAGAACATTGTCATTTCGAAAAACTATTTTTTTTTAATTTGAACACACATTACCAGCATATATTCTTGGACACAATCTTTTGTGGCAACTAGCATTTCATCACCTTTCATATAAAACTTCTACAACAAAATTTGGTTGTGGTATTTTTTTTTAATTAACATTTTTTTTCACATAAAATAACAGTCTGTAAATAACATCATTTCTTTTTCTTCTTTTTCCCACTTAAGCCAGCAAAGGCAAAGCTTTTCAGTGGATCTTCCTGTTTTTTCTGGAAGAAAGCATACAATAAAATCAGCATTTTTACTATTTATAGGTGTAAATCAATTTTATTTCAATATTCTAACCATTTCATTACACAGTTAAAGTATGTTTGTATGTATTAATTTCTCAATCTTAGAAATAAAATTGTTCATATATTAACGTATACTTAGGATGTTTTCTTTGTAAGTAAGACTGTTACAATTCCATATTGTCTATAAAAACCTTCTACTTCAATGGTGAAACTATTGAATGTTTGTAAAAATTTGCTTTACAATTAAATTGAAACAGGATGGGTTACAAAAACGTGTCTATGATTTTCTTTAGCAAACTTTCCCTTGCTGCCAATGAAAATGACTGCTCCTAAAAAGAACGTGGACGACTGCTTGGAGTACATCAGTTAAAAAGCAAAATTCTACCCATAAGTTTCTACAGCCAATCATAGATAGAATTATCAACAAGCCTTCCTTTAATAGCCAATCAGTGCTACTGTTTTAGTCAAAACCTTAGCTTTCTTAGCCAATCAGAATATCCGCTCTACAAACATGTTCCTAGTAAAACAAGAAGACGCTGTCATCAGTATCCCTCACTTGCAGTGCAAAAGTCATTAAAAACATGAAGGGTCAAAATATAGGTCAAAATCAGCATCCGCAATATACATTCAGTAGAGCAACCCTAGATACACAACTGATGCAAGGATAATTAACATAGCACTTGATGTAGGCAAGATATGGATGTGAGCAATTTTTCTAAGCCTTACATGAAGATAAGGGCAATTCTTCTTAACCAAGTCAATGAAGCGTAAAATATAGGTCAAAATCAGCATCTGTAATATGTATTCAGTAGAGTACGGACGGACGGACCCCATTTCGATATCCCCCGCCAACTCGTTGAGTGGAGGATAATACTTAACAAGTTCCACTGCATGGAAAACACCAGCGAATTCCATTGTAGTTCTTTTGCAAACATACTGTGACCTCCATATAATCTCATTTTAGATATAACTATAGAGAAAATGGGCCGGGGTTCTATTGTTGATACAGGTAGCTTGATTGATTAGAGTGACGGTACATAAAATGATTAGAAGGACAGAGTCCAAATCATGGTCTGGACAATGATATGATAATATCTGGCATATTGTAATTTTACACTCAGCACACACTAGGGTTTATAATTTTTTTGAAAACGATGTGAAAGTTATCTGAAAGGTATGCTTTTCTTTTCAGAATAGATTTATCACAACTACTGTATATAGTCAAGTGAGAAAAAAGGGGGAATTCTTAAAATCTCGTATAGCCAATCAGAGTCATTGTTTCCTCTGACAAAAAGTTCCAGTGTTGATAAGAATATTTTTTCTGTTCCTGCAAATTACCTTAGCCAATCAGAAAAAGCATTGTATTATATTGTCGAATCATCAGAATATGTTCAGGAGTTCAGAAGTCTATGTCTGGAGGAGGGTAGGAATGATTTAACATTCAGTAGCTTGCTATATCACCTTGTTTTTTTTGGTACAGATATGAGACTGATATCCGACACACTGTCCAGTCCTGATATGCCTGAGAAGTTTAAAAACAAGAAGCCCATGGGCCTTAACGGTCACCTGAGTCCTACAGTATTTATTTTTGTTGTTGAAATATGTACCAATTTGAGTAAAAAATAGTATAATGATAACTTAACTTTGTCAGGACCATGAGCTGATCATTCCTATACCAATTTTAAGTGAGATCGGCCTATTAGAACTTAGTAGCAAAATAGCGGCCATGGCAGCCAAATTGTATTTCTGATTGACCCAAAAAATAACAACACTTTGTCAGGACCATGAGGCGATCATTCCTACCAACTTTCAGTTCAATCGGTCCAGCAGAACTTGACTTTAAGTTTGAAATGTAAAATGTTAACAGACGACGGACGACGGACGACGACGGACGAAAAAAGGATAGCAATAGGTCACTCGAGCTAAAGCTCAGGTGACCTAAAAACACACTGACCTCTTAAGAAATTACAACTGCCACAATAATATGATACAATCCCAATGGTTTCATCTTTAGAAACTAAAAATCCACAAAACTTTTGAGCCAATCAAAATCCAAATCCATTTAAACCAACACATCCTAAGCCAATCAGTGATTTATGATTATTTAACTATCAAACTGACACACAAAGTAACTATTTTAACCTATTAACTTCCTTAAACCAATCAGTCAGAGATACTCGGTTAAAAACGAACTTCTTCGGTCAGGGTAAGTTACCCTAAGCCTTTTACAGTGGATGCTTATATTAAGTCATTTCCTAAGCCAATCAGAGTAATTTCTTTAATCAACAACCTCCTAAGCAATTTAGAGTATCACATTTTCACCCTCAAAGGTTGCTACGCTACTCCTAGTAACAGCTAATGTGCCACTGACGAAGGAGGATATAGCATTGTTGTAAAAGGCAATGCTGACCACATCTGTAGGTGGGAGGGGACTTACCCTGTACTTAAGCTGTCCTCGAGACGGTCCAGTGTAGTCTGACGACCTTGACCTTTTCCTTGAATCTTGCCCGCCATGGTGACCTATTTTCTTCAGAGTTGGAGGAACTGGAAACACAATAACAGACATTCATTATTAAGCTTTCATTGGATTTCCATGCTCGCTATCCTCATACATTACATTAAGGGCAACTGAAGATGAATGCTAACAAGGAAAAGACATTCATACGAATGAATATAAATTATAAACAAGTTTAGTGTATTCTATAACTAGCTGTGACATTTTTAATATCCCTTTGTCACCTCTAATGAAAGATTTCTTTGATATTTTGATGCCTGGTGTTTTGACAAATATATTTCACTGTTCAGTACAATAGTTTTTGAAAACTCTTACCAAGATAATCTGGGACATTCCTCATGTGTGTCTGATTTTTGACAGTGTGTAAGAATTTGTCATGCCGCAGAATCTGTAGATCCCTTGGGTTATCCTGAAAATGGGACTGGAAAAAAAACAAGTTGTAAAATTAACATAAGGTATAGTAACTACTCATAACAATAACTTTATGGAAGACAAAAATTACACTAATCCCTTACTACTTGAATTGGTTGGAACTAGATTAGCACAAAAACAAATTGGAGTTTGTGGCAACAACATCAACAAGAATGTTACCTTGAGTTTCTGAGACGCCAGCACCTCCTGTTTTATCTCCTTCAGTCTGGCCTCTTTGATGGCTGTCTTTGTTACAGCTCTCATGGCATCCTGAGATTTTACAAAATACATACAGTTATTATTACACAGGTAATTTCCCCGGATTTTTTTCATAAATAAAGATGTAATTGTTCTTGTTTCACTTAAGAAATTAAGACAAATTAACTAATGGCTTTGATTGTACATCTTACTATTTTGTCATCTTTTTAGCAAATCAATTTTGACTCTAATTATTAACGAAAATATAGATATCTCTTAAACACAGATATTATTAATTCCGTTTTGTCCATGAATGATTTAAATCTGATATTGTTCAAGTCAGAAACAGAGAAATTTGGAAATCAATAAACATCAAAACTCAAACATTATTAGTCTTAATCTTATTAAAGAAATAATCACATACACATGTATTACACTCTGGACCAAGTTTATTCTTATTGCAGGTTAATACTGAGTTATTTATTCTGCTATTACATGCATATACAAATCTATTTTACAACATGGAAATATAATTGAATGTACATTCATCTCTTTTTCAGTACCAATAAGATTAAAAGACCTAGGTCATCAACCTATTTAAGTTAGGCTTTTCTTTTTCACACAGAACTAATTGCCCCATGACGCCTCATTATCACTACACCAACAAGTCGATGTCTAAACAAAAGTCTCTTTCTGACATTGAGCCAGTGGCCATTTTGGCCAGTTTAGGCAACAACAACAAAATTGTATGTTTCAAGTACACATACAGACCTTATATTTTACCTCCGACTCTTAACAATTTCAACGCACTCCATCCAGTGTTGGGATAATTTGTCCACCGGACGCAAACAAATTGATGGACAAACAAACAAGGCAACTACATATATAAACACCCTCTCTACATAATAGGCAGGTATCGCAAGCAAATTTAAATCCCATATTATTATTTAAAAGACGTAAACATACATATGGTGATTTTTTTGTAATTTCTTAAATAAGCCCTTTAAAAAACAATAATACAATGTAACAAAATAAAATATCATAAAAATATATTCAGACCAACCTTTCATATTTTTTGTCACGTTACCAAAAACATACACATTTGATTTGCCTTACTGTGGTTACTGTTGGACCATTTAGATATACACTGTATATGTACAAGCTTCAGTGTGGAAGAATACAGAATATACCACTATACGTAAAAAATAGTTAAGGATTTTGAAATTGGAACACGTATTGATGAACTTTCTACACTAATTTCTTAGTTATTGTTATGCTGATGATCACAGACAAATAATCTAAAGAAGTCGTGTTTAAATGTTAAATTACCTTAGCTCGATACCTGAAGCCTTCCACTTCCTCCATCTTGAAGCTGTAGGGTTTGAATACTGTTTCTCCACTTGCTGAAAAATATCAAATTAGACATTTCATTAATCTTTTTACCACTGTAGACCATAATGAACTCACCCATATAAATGTATGTTAGAGCCTACTAAAGTTACCTAGGGGTGAAAGGGTTAATGCTTCATTTTCACACCAACAATCTGATGGTATGGCTAGCTTGCTTAATTAATATTTGATTAACATACAATGATGTAAACGTGTTTAAGTGGCATTACCAGGCACAGGCTAACCAATGTAACCCGAAACCAAAATTACTTTATCTGAAAACCTGTATAAGCCAGAATCTAAAAACCTGTGTAAGACAGTTCCTTGTATATCCAGAAACCTGTGAGAATCATCCCAATCATTTGGTCAGACAAGTTTCACAGTCTGTAAATCTAAACCCGTTAACTAGAATATGTTAATAGGACATGAATGCCCTCTTGGCCCTATGGTGGACCTATAAATAATAGCAAGTGACCCTTACATTGACCCTGGGACCCAGATATACAAAATCATCAGATGTACTCTCAAACTTAACCTTTTATAAACTTTGATGAAAATCTGTTATGAAGAAATTGGTTAAACCACAACAATGAATCATGAATGGATGGAATGGACATAGGTAACACTGTATGCCCCCTTTCCCCACAAGGCGGGGGCGTAAACATGAAAAGTATGCCATATTCACAGAAATCCAACGATTTACTAGCTTCAAATTATGAGTAAATTTGTATACCTGAAGCTTCTGACAGTGAACTTTCCACTACCTCCAACAGTGGCATTTCTTTCAAGCTGACGAATGACAATGCTGTGCCCTGGTTGTCTCCCCTAGCAGTTCTTCCCACTCGGTGGATGTATGCATCAACAGTTTCAGGGAAGTCGAAGTTAACCACGTTGGACACATTCTGGAAATCGATTCCTCTAGACACACCATACTCACGATCCTTCTTAAATACCCTAAAAGGAAAATACAATGCAGGTTTATTCAATAAAGAATTCTATTTTGCATTTATTAGGACTGTTACATAGTTAATCATATGGGGGAGGTGGGAGGCACCTGTATAAATATATAATGAGGTGGTTAAAACCATATCTGCCTACCGTTCCTCATATCAATTCACTTTTAAAGAAAAGATTTTAAGAAATTTTTGGGTGGTGGAGTGTCTGAAAAAGTGCCTCACACCCCTACAGTAAATTATGGAACAGCTCCCAATATAGAGTATATGCTAAACAACTTCGAAATTCTAAATGCATAAGTTTTACAAAACAAGCTTCTCAATTCTTTATTTCAGATGTATCCACAAATCATGTAAGATGACATACCTATTACTTTGTCCAAAACAAGAAAAACATTGTGAAATGAATGTGTTCCCATATTTCCCTCTGTTCTATTCTCATGTTATCATTTCTGTGTCTGTTGTAAGATCTTAATCAGTATTATTACACAAAATAAACACATCCGCTGTTTACAGGTAAAGGCCTTATTAAACTGCATTGCAAATTTATTATACTAATAATTCAAAAAAAGAAATTATGGTTAATACATGTATATAAAACATCAGAATGACTGCACTGCACCTGTACTTACTTTTTTTGTTTCCCAGGGTCTGGTTCAGCGAGGAGTGTCTCATCTGAGGCGATGATGTAGTCATACAGGTTGTCATTAAATTGGGTAACCACATGACACCTACAGTAGATCATCAAACGACATCAGTAAAACACACAGTAAGTCTCTAATAAAGAGGCCCAGCAGGCATGTATACACTGGATAATAGACTGGCACAGTTCAACACAAAATGACAAGAGGCCCAGTGGACATGTATGGTCACAATACAAACCAGTAATCAAGAGGTTCAGTGGGCATGTATACCCTGATCACAACACAGGTCAGAGTTCAACACGTAATGATAAAGAGGCCCTGCTGCCATGGGTATAAACTGATTACATTTCTACACAATAATAAGAGGCCAAAGATTCAAGAATTGGACGTATGAACATCTGGAGTTATTTATAAGTGCATCATACAATTTTTTTTCATGTGAGTACTTAAAAACTGCTCATTATCGTAATTGGATACTATTTTCCTTAATAAGCCAAATCCTTTTTGATATGTGTTAACTGAAACACAATTGTCGTAACTGGATACTGTTTTGTTGCTACTTACAGTTGATGGATGTATAAATCCCAGTTTTGTACATTATAACAATTAAGCACAGACGTAAATACCCAATCAACCTTGATGTCAGATTATATACCAGCATGAAGTGATAACTACAAATACTGTATCTGTGCGAGTCTGCTATATCTAATACATTTATTAAGAGGAAACAAATGTATAAGACACTAATTGTTCTCAATACGTGGTGCTCTACAGTGACGAAAATTCTACTGAAATTGATGAAAAAGATTTATGTCTTAATTACCTTGAGTTGACTGGAAGCTCTGAATTTAACACACAGGCAGAAATACCAAACTGTTCTAAAAATAACTTTAATCTGAAAAGAAAAAATCGAAACATTAATATTAATTTCTTTCCAAGAGAATGATAATAGAAAGATGGACATAGCCTTCATATGATACTTTCTGTTAAGTGTTATTACATGATTGAGGAGATGTTAAAGATTTAATATTTCTTATTTTCATGAAAGTCATTCCGTAAAAGTTAGAAGTGTAGCAAGCTTGTTTAGATTACACGACAAATAGTTTATCTACATTTTCTAACTCAGCAATTTTCTGATAAAAAAACATTTTTATCACCTGTTGTATTAGAACTGTAAAAAGGATCTGTCGGGAGAAAACATAACAGAAATTTCAATATGTGGAGTCTCAAAAACTGAGAAATCTAACATGCTAACATATAGCATTTACTTTTTTTAAGTTATTGATTTTTGAAATTTCAGCTTACTTGTAACATTTGTTTACTGAATTCACAAACAGGATTGTTTTTCCTTGAACAAGCTTCAGCTTCAGAAGTACGTAGATCAGAGCAAATTTATCCTCTTCCTCACATCTAAAACAAAAATCATATTTATTGGAAATGGTTGTTTGCTGAACATATGCCTTATAGGGAGATGAATTAAATTTAAATAACAAAATCACAAACATGTTTAATTGTAGCCGATCTTGACACAGTCAAACCTTCAAGACCAGAGACCTCAGTTGATCTGGCATCTGCTTACAGTTAAGAAATTGTGGGGTACAAATTGGTCTAAATCTGGCCTGTTGAATTTGTTCGCCCCGTATAAATTGGTGCCTGTGACCAACCCTTTTGCAAGCACATACAATTCGGTAAATCGAACCTGGGTTATAAGTTAACTTGTGTTCTGTAGGGAAAGACTTTGATAAAAGGAGAGGAAAGTGAAGCAGATCTCAACTGGGTTGATCACCAGTGTTTAAATGCTCAGTTGGTAGAGCATCCACCTAAAATTAAGATATTCTAGTTCTGATTCCTGATCGTGGATGTAACAAATGTTCTCACCCTATTACAGAGTACACATGTCTACGGAACAGGTTGCAAATATTATCCACGTCGTCATTGTTACAATACTAGAAATTGTGATATAAATTTTAAGTACCAATAGTTTAAAAAGTGCATATATAACTCATTCATCCCTGAAATTTCATAATGTACTATTCTAACCTTTAAATTGGAAGAGTTCAAATGTGTTTTCAGGGGTGAATGAGTTAAGGCATGTACAGTCAAACCCATATTGAGAGACCATCCATGGGGAAACCAAAAATGGTCATAAAAAAGGGGTCTCTTAATACCTGCCTCTTAAAACAGGTGGTCCCTTATTAAAGGTGGTCGCATGAGCAGGTTTGATTCTGTTTCAACAATATTAGAGTAAGGAACATTACGTCTGCTGAAAGCAGGGAAGAAACAGGAATGCACAGCTTCAAACCAGCTGCAAAAAAACTTGCACAGGAAAGATTTTAGACTTATACACTACAGCTTTAAACTATTACGTCACTGAATACAAGTTTACTTTGTCCTCGGGTTACAAGAGTATAAGTCTGACAATCACTTACTTGATTTGGTATTGAGTCAGCTGTGCGGCCTCTGGTAACTGGGATTCCTCCAATTTAAGTATCACCTATCAAACAGACAAAATATTACAAAATATTAAACATTTATTCAGATTTCAGTTCACAACTTTTTTTTAATATGTTTTCATTAATCCACAATGGCTTTTCCTTCATTGTTTTTTTGTGTACTGCACATGCAGATTAAATTCTTGTAAATTTAAATAAGATTACTTGTTTAAGCAATTGTCTTTCAAATTTATTTGCATTCAAGTATACCAAATTCATACATTTTCCTTGTTTAACTGAATAATGGTTTAAGCAGTAAACAGAAGTAGCGTAGGTGAGGAAGACAATAATGACACCTACCGCGTTGTGGAGTACCATTTTCTTGAGGGCCTTGACACTGTCGTTGAGAGTGGCTGACATCAGAAAAGCTTGGTATATTTTTGGCAGGTGTCTGCAATGATAGATTAACATTAACAAGACTGTTTTATATACATTTCATAGCATAACGTTAAGAACATGGGTCAAAACTGATTTTTCTTTTCAAAAACGAGGTGTTGAAAATTTATGTTTTAAAGAGAGTTAATAAAATTTTGTTAAAATTAAACTCTTCTTCAAGAAATATGTACACCTGAACAGCGTCATATATACCCAAGGTAAAATATCTAGAAGCTCTAAAGTTGTTTCAAACATTATATGCTTTACGACAAGACAAGAAAAATGGCTCCCACAAGAAATTGAGAGCGGGTAATATTTTAACTTGAAAAAAGCTTCACTTAACTTGTATTAAACATGTTATCAGGTGAAAATTTAAAACCCTATATTACAGTTATTATCATTATCATGAATGTGAAGTATCTAGTAGCACTTTTAATTTGCTATCATTGCAGATCATTTTTAAGTATCTCCCAACAGTTCCCACTTTATTTTGATTTGTTATGGAAAGTCTACTCCAAAAAACTATAATGTGACCTTGTAATCTGACTCTTTTGAACCAAGGAAGCATTATATCTTCAGGTTTTATACATTTTCTGAGGTTGATAAAACCATATACTGACTTCAACAATGGGCCACAATTGTACATCAGTGTACTTGTTAAAAGCCAGATACTGGCAAAAACAGCCCTCCTTTCATGATCTTGAGACGGATATTAACATTTTTTGATACATGTACTATAATCTGTCAACATTCAACCCTCTACTTTTGAAAATCAACAACTTTCTTGAAAACTTTGTGTGAATGCTGTATCTTTTCAATGAAGTTTCCTTTTTCACACCAGGTATACCAGTTTCTCATCTCTATTTTGCTTTCCTCTGCCAAGACTGTAAACTCAATGCATAACAGGTTTTACAAGATAGTCCCATCTGGATTTTCCAGTGATCCTTGACATTTAGCAATTTCAGAAATTGGTCAAATCACATGTCAAACACCTATAGCCTTTCAAGCCCAAGAGTCAAAGCTCATTATGGGGAGTTAAAAGCATACTCTACTGAAAGCCTTATTGCATATATTTACCCCAAGATACCCTTGATGTCATTTTCATATCCAAAGGAAAAAAGAAGGTCAGCCTCGTCCATGATCAGTAGCTCCAGAGAATCCTTGATACACAGGTTTCCAGCACGGATATGTGCAAGGATGCGTGTCGGTGTTGCCACTAAAATATCCGGCTTCTCAGCTAACATGGGCCTGTGTGTGAGGTGAAATGTATATATGTGTATAGTTCATTGCAACCATGAAAACTAACACTGTCACAACCAAAATACAGTTAAATTCACCGGGATAGATGGGTCTCTCACCCTGGACAGGGGTATCCACACTTGTCCCTGTGTAAGATATCCTTGTTTTGTCGCACCCTAGGGTTGAGATGGGGGATTCCCCAGTCAAAGCATGACGTCATATCAACAATACAATGACATCACGTCAACAATGCATGGAGTCTGTAAAGTCAACATCCTGTCATATACATGTATATGACAGGGTTAACAGGGTATTAAAGAGAAAAAGAATAAGTCACCCCCTTTAGGTGAGATGGGAAATCTCAGCACTCAGGGAAAGATTCTTCAGTTGCCAAACACTCGGCAAAGTCTTGTGTTTGGCAACTTAAAAATCTACCCCCTCGGATTGAGATTCTCCTATTCTAAATTTGATTAATCCCAGACTCCAGTTACCCAATACCTCATTTAAAGCATAATGACAACTTAACACATAACTTCAACTAATATAACTAAAGGTGTATATATGAGCATTTTCAAGTCAAAGAGTGTATTCTTTGAAAAAAAGATATTTTCAATTTTTTTCAACCTTAGCTGAAATTTATGACCTTTAAATAAAGGATTAGCAGTAGATGAACAAGAACTTACTTCTGTGCAGCCAGGGGCATCTGTGGGGAAATGTCCAGACATTTTACTTCTCTGGAACAACTTGAAGTTAAAGACTGTGGAACACACATATTATAAGTATAAGTATTAACAAGGTATTACAATTCATAATGAAAAGATCATCATCTAAACAATCTAAATATCAGCTTTGAAAATTGTGGGTTTTTTTTATTGATCAGCAAGAACTTTTTGAAATACTTCACAATATAAGTATAGGCTAGAATTTGTTATTTTTAATGTGATAACTTTAGATAACCAGATAATAGTAAAATACAAACAAGTGTTGTGTTACATGTTTGGTGTCAATACTATACCTTTTACATGTACTCACCGTGATATTTTTGAAGGCCTGGTAACACGGCTCTTTACTTGGTGTCAGTACTATACCTTTTACATGTACTGACCGTGATATTTTTGAAGGCCTGGTTACATGGCTCTTTACTTGGTGTCAGTACCATAGATTTTACATGTACTTACCGTGATATTTTTGAAGGCCTGGATACACAACTCTTTACTTGGCGTCAGGACTAAAGCTTTACATGTACTTACCATGATATTTTTGAAGGCCTGGATACACAACTCTTTACTTGGTGTCAGTACTAAAGCTTTACATGTACTTACTGTGATATTTTTGAAAGCCTGGATACACGGCTCTTTACTCGGTGTCAGTACCATAGATTTTACATGTACTTACCATGATATTTTTGAAGGCCTGGATACACGTCTCTTTACTTGGTGTCAGTACTAAGCTTTACATGTACTTACTGTGATATTTTTGAAGGCCTGGATACACGTCTCTTTACTTGGTGTCAGTACTAAAGCATTTACATGTACTTACTGTGATATTTTTGAAAGCCTGGATACACGGCTCTTTACTTGGTGTCAGTACTAAAGCATTTACATGTACTTACTGTGATATTTTTGAAGGCCTGGATACACAGCTCTTTACTTGGTGTCAGTACCATAGATTTTACATGTTCTTACCATGATATTTTTGAAGGCCTGGATACACGGCTCTTTACTTGGTGTCAGTACTATACCTTTTACATGTACTTACCGTGATATTTTTGAAGGCCTGATTACACGACTCTTTACTTGGTGTCAGTACTAAGCTTTACATGTACTTACTGTGATATTTTTGAAGGCCTGGATACACGGCTCTTTACTTGGTGTCAGTACTAAAGCTTAACATGTACTTACCGTGATATTTTTGAAAGCCTGGATACACGGCTCTTTACTTGGTGTCAGTACTATAGATTTTACATGTACTTACCGTGTTATTTTTGAAGGCCTGGATACACAGCTCTTTACTTGTGTCAGTACTATACCTTTTACATGTACTTACTGTGATATTTTTAAAGTCCTGGTTACACGGCTCTTTACTTGGTGTCAGTACTATAGATTTTACATGTACTTACTGTGATATTTTTAAAGTCCTGGTTACACGGCTCTTTACTTGGTGTCAGGACTATACCTTTTACATGTACTTACTGTGATATTTGTGAAGGCCTGGATACACAACTCTTTACCCAGTGTCAGTACTATACCTTTTACATGTACTTACTGTGATATTTGTGAAGGCCTGGATACACAACTCTTTACTCAGTGTCAGTACTATACCTTTTACGTGTACTTACTGTGATATTTTTGAAGGCCTGGATACACAACTCTTTACTCGGTGACAGTACTATAGATTTTACATGTACTTACCATGATATTTTTTGAAGGCCTGGTTACACGGCTCTTTACTTGTGTCAGTACTAAAGCATTTACATGTACTTACCATGATATTTTTTGAAGGCTTGGTCACACAACTCTTTACTTGGTGTCAGTTCCATAGATTTTACATGTACTTACTGTGATACCTGGATACACAACTCTTTACTCGGTGACAGTACTATAGATTTTACATGTACTTACTGTGATATTTGTGAAGGCCTGGATACACAACTCTTTACCCAGTGTCAGTACTATACCTTTTACATGTACTTACTGTGATATTTTTAAAGTCCTGGTTACACGGCTCTTTACTTGGTGTCAGTACTAAAGCATTTACATGTACTTACTGTGATATTTTTAAAGTCCTGGTTACACGGCTCTTTACTTGGTGTCAGTACTATAGATTTTACATGTACTTACCATGATATTTTTGAAGGCCTGGTCACACAACTCTTTACTCGGTGTCAGTACTATACCTTTTACATGTACTTACCGTGATATTTTGGAAGGCCTGGATACACGGCTCTTTACTCGGTGTCAGTACCATAGATTTTATATGTACTTACCGTGATATTTTTGAAGGCCTGATTACACGACTCTTTACTTGGTGTCAGTACTAAAGCATTTACATGTACTTACCGTGATATTTTTGTAGGCATGATTACACAGCTCTTTACTTGTGTCAGTACTATAGATTTTACATGTACTTACTGTGATACCTGGATACACAACTCTTTACTCGGTGACAGTACTATAGATTTTACATGTACTTACCATGATATTTTTGAAGGCCTGGATACACGGCTCTTTACTTGGTGTCAGGACTATACCTTTTACATGTACTTACTGTGATATTTTTGAAAGCCTGGATACCCGGCTCTTTACTTGGTGTCAGTACTAAAGCATTTACATGTACTTACTGTGATATTTTTAAAGTCCTGGTTACACGGCTCTTTACTTGGTGTCAGTACTAAGCTTTACATGTACTTACTGTGATATTTGTGAAGGCCTGGATACACAACTCTTTACCCAGTGTCAGTACTATACCTTTTACATGTACTTACCATGATATTTTTTGAAGGCCTGGTTACACGGCTCTTTACTCGGTGTCAGTACCATAGATTTTATATGTACTTACCGTGATATTTTTGAAGGCCTGGTTACACGGCTCTTTACTTGTGTCAGTACTAAAGCATTTACATGTACTTACCGTGATATTTGTTGAAGGCCTGGATACACAACTCTTTACTTGGCGTCAGGACTAAAGCTTTACATGTACTTACCATGATATTTTTTGAAGGCTTGGTCACACAACTCTTTACTTGGTGTCAGTTCCATAGATTTTACATGTACTTACTGTGATATTTGTGAAGGCCTGGATACACAACTCTTTACCCAGTGTCAGTACTATACCTTTTACATGTACTTACTGTGATATTTTTAAAGTCCTGGTTACACGGCTCTTTACTTGGTGTCAGGACTATACCTTTTACATGTACTTACTGTGATATTTGTGAAGGCCTGGATACACAACTCTTTACTTGTGTCAGTACTATAGATTTTACATGTACTTACTGTGATATTTTTAAAGTCCTGGTTACACGGCTCTTTACTTGGTGTCAGTACTAAGCTTTACATGTACTTACTGTGATATTTTTGAATGCCTGGATACACAACTCTTTACTTGGTGTCAGTACCATAGATTTTACATGTACTTACCGTGATATTTTTGAAGGCCTGATTACACAACTCTTTACTTGGTGTCAGTACTAAAGCTTTACATGTACTTACCGTGATATTTTTGAAGGCCTGGATACACAACTCTTTACTTGGTGTCAGTACTAAAGCTTTACATGTACTTACCGCGATATTTTTGAAGGCCTGGATACACGGCTCTTTACTCGGTGTCAGTACCATAGATTTTACATGTACTTACCGTGATATTTTTGAAGGCCTGAATACACAACTCTTTACTCGGTGTCAGTACTAAAGCTTTTACATCGTGTCCTTTCCCGTGATATACTCTTTACTTGGTGTCATTACTATACCTTTTACATGTACTTACCGTGATATTTTTGAAGGCCTGAATACACAACTCTTTACTCGGTGTCAGTACTAAAGCTTTTACATCGTGTCCTTTCCCGTGATATACTGTTTACTTGGTGTCATTACTATACCTTTTACATGTACTTACCGTGATATTTTTGAAGGCCTGATTACACAGCTCTTTACTTGGTGTCAGTACTATAGCTTTTACACACTGCTCTTTGCTGGTCTGTTTGATTGCAGAAAAGAAAATAACATAAATGATTACAACACATTTCAAAGTACCGGTACAGGTATCAAGACATATAAAACTGATATAATTTCCCCATAATAAAAACAAAAGCTCCAATAAACTCTTCCCTCCAAATGTTTAGTCAATAAAATGTTAAAAATTAGCACACTTCTTGATATGAATATATTTAATTATTGTTTATCCACTTTCATTCAACAATTTGAGCCTCATATAATCAGTTTTGTCTGCCAAGCAGTAGAAATGAATGAAACTATATAATTAAAAATCCCTCTACAATACTTTCATCCATAATTGTAACTTTTTTCACTGTATCTCATGAAGAAGTGCGCTATTTTACAAATGTCTCTTGGTATACCTGTACGTTTGTTGCCTATTCATATATACCAGGTAATTTTAGTTTACCCTTAAACACCATCATTTTAAACTAAATATCAATATTATACAGATTTTTATTTTTCGTTAACCAAAACATTATTTAGATGACCTAGGATTCCAAATCCTCAGTGAAGTAAATGTAAATGACTTGAGGGGTTGGGGGTCGGTTGAAAACTCCGGATTGGAAACACTCCTTCCACTGGACTAGTTTTAGTACTTACTGTTTTTGCGGCCAGTATTTTCTGTATGACTGGGATACAGAATGCTGCTGTTTTTCCTGAACCAGTCCTGGCCCTGGCCAAAATGTCTTTCCCTTCCAATGCCAGAGGGATAGCTTTTTCCTGTATAGGGGTAGGCTTGTGCCAGCCCAGCTCTGATACAGACTGCAAATAAAAAGCAACTGAAATAGAACTCATTTAATTTGCTTACTAGTCTAAAGATGGCCAAGACATTCTTCACTAATACACTGGCAGGGTGGTAAGGTTTTACCTTCAAATTTGTATAATAAACCTGAAATTGTGTTTGAAAGGCAGAGCCTCGGGTTAGACAACCAAAAAACATCACCCCTGGGGTTGGAGATTTCTCTGTCACACCCTCAAGGAAGGGGAATATTCTATTAGTCTTCCGTTTCAGCTCAGAGAGATCAGCTTGTCACCCCCTAGAGGAGGTAGCCTCGTGCAGAAAACCACGCCCTAAATTGGGACGTCAGAAAATTAAATGGTGATCGTGACATCATAAAAAGTTAAACATTAATATGCCAAATATGCTTTTGTTAACAAATATGACAAGCTACGTATACTGTCAGGTGAGCTGTGACTGTAATAGTATGAATGGGAGAAAAATAACCATCCCCTACCTTGAGGTTGTGGCAGAGAAATCTCCAATCTGAGTGGTGATTATTTGGTTGTCTAATCCGAGGCAGAGCCTCAGGTTGGACAACAAAATAAATCAAAGGGAGGATTCTATAAGTCGTAAAATCAGCTTGATTTTTTCCTTGCTGTGATCAATGCACAGTGACTTGCAGTTACAATTGTCCTGATGACAATGTTCTTTCAGGCCTTGCGAACCAAGACAAATTGACATTGGATTGAAAGGAGGCTGAAGTTGCCTTGACAGACACCAATCGATCATCCAGGAAGAATAGATCATGTGAGCAGAATCTAATCCTCACCATCCAAGACTAGCCCCAGTTTCCTCTGGCCCTAAAAACAGACTTAGACATTTTGACATATAGATGTCTGGTGTGCGGCCAGAGCACACTGCTTGCTATATGAAAATGTGAAATTCTCCGACATTGATTGGTATTGGAGAGTTATGAGGTGCTGACAACAAAAATCTATTGTGACACAACACATACCTCACATCTATCGATAAATGGACTACTTATTGATCCAAATCAGCTCTTTTTACCAACAGCTGCTAAATTCTATCAGTACAGACCTCGATTTTCAATCGTTCAAAATTTCCCACATGTGTGAACGCCATTTTTGTAGGTCATGGGGTGACTAATCAACAAACCATACTGATCTGGACTGGAAACGGAATATATTATTCTTGTGCAGTGCGCTCTGGCCCCACACCAGACATATATCTGTCAAAATGTCTAAGTCTGGTGTCAGGACTACTCCAACAATGTCAGAGGTTTTACACGGCGAGAAACTTTTGACGGGTGTCGCAGTCGGCAAAATCATATCCGAGGAAAAAGGCTGACCAGCGGCCCCTTATGTTATAGGAGTTGTCAGGACCAGAGGAAACTTGGGCTACATCCAAGACCTTTCAGAGCAAATGAAAACATACCACTTACTACCACTGAATAACATTACTGTTGTGCTGCCCTGGATCAATTGAATCTCAGGTTTGTGAATCCATATTTCTAGAATATTAGGGTAAGCGGTGGTATGACTTTTTTTTCAATTGTTTACAAAAACTTGACACGAATTTTAATGGGTTTTTTTGTCATAGCTAAGTTAATTCCAGAAAGACACATGCCCCTCTTTTTTTGGCGACATTTGTAATAATAGGAAAAGCTGTACAAAGCAGTAGATGTGTGTTAAATTCAAATTGTTTTTTTAAAACCTAGATATGTCAACCCCCTGTAAACTGGGATATTCTCTTCAGAAGATAATTCCTCGAGGAATGATTCTCTACCTGCTCAACTTTGGGGCTATTTATAATTAGGTTAAGGACGAGAAAAGGAGTTCATAAGACAGCAATGGTAATGTATACCTTTAGAATACGGTCATCTAAGCCCATTTCGTGAAATCCAATTGGTTTTTCCTCAACTTCATCGTCGAAATCATCTGCATCCATTTTCGCAACATGCGTTTCTTACAACCGGAATATGAATAAATATTCTAATTTCAAACTTGGATTGGGACTCAAAGCCGGAATACTGTCTAACTATCGATGACGCTTACGATTTTTACGGATTGCAGGTAGTTAACAAGGAATGTTTATTTTTTCAGTTACTATTTGCACTGCATTTACTCTTTAAAAAAAGCATAAGTGTTTAAGCGGCTAATTCAACATCATAACATATAATGTTTAAGATTGTTATCTAAGTCCGTGGTTTCAGTAACTGTATTAATCTGAAGCGATAATTATATATAAGATCATCACCTAATGAAAAAAAAATATGCAGAGACGCATAATATAAAATTATACCACGGAATTAGATTGCTATCTAAGTCCATGATTATACTACTGACTTTAACGTTATATGTCGCTGGTTTATGCACGGTCTTAGATAGCATCTAATAGGATAATTCCGTGGTTTATGTACTTGGGGGGTGGGGGGGGGGCTTGACAGTGTTCACACAAGTGACGTATTTATATATATTTTTGTTGGTGTGAATTTGGTTGCTTCTGTGGGCCCCTCGTGTTCTCCTATCACTTGATGTTAAAAAGTAGGATGGATCGATACCAACATGTCCGTTTATGATCTTTTATACAGCATCATGAGTCTGGTGTTTGTTCTTCTCTGAGATAGGGGCTCCAAGTTAAGTGATCCGACCGATCATATTGGATCATACACAACCAGGCTCTCTAGATCTGTGTTCATTAAACACATATCTGGCAGCCCTGCGCTGGACATTTTCATTAGATAGGACCTAGTCTGATGTATAAGGGTCTTTAACATTTCTAGTTCAAGATGACAGGTTGCTTCTTAGAAATCCTATAGAGTCTTGTTGGCTGTGTTAGTGATGGACTTGTGTGTTTATCCCAATTTAGATCTGTAGTGAAAGTGACCCCTCGAAATGCTAGAATCTTAATTGTCCAGTGTTTGATCGTGTAGAGAGTAACTCTTTTTCTTTTAGAGATGTTGATAATAGAGTAGTTTTAGCGTGAAAATTCATCTGTCATTTACTCTCTCAGTTTTACAAAGATTTGAGATCATTATCAAGTTTGTGACAGTCCTGTACATAATTTATTTCTATATCGAGTAAGCGATCATCAGCAAAGAGCTTGAGTTTGCAAGAAACTGATCTGACAATGTCTTTAACTAAGACTAGAAACAGAAGTGGCCAAACGACAGTATACACTGGGGCGCCCCGGATAGGGCTGGGCGCTGTCAGAGCTGGTACCGTTAATTATGACTTTCTATTGTCTTTTAATCAAAAAGGAGGAAAACCCAAGTATGCTTTCCAAGTTGATGCCGTAATAAAAAAACAACTCAACCAATTTAAATGACAATCTATATATCTATCAATAAGTTTCATCACGGAAGTCCGTGGTTTCATCTTCTGTGCCGACCATCTCAGTGTACCAAAGTCTCCACTGATCTCATTACTAACTATGTAATTCAACATATATCTTTGTAAATTGTCGTAAAAAACAGCCATTATTGCTTGTACTACCCGTCCAGATTAAGTACTTCACACAAACTAGAATTCATATCTAAAACCACTTTTTTGAAAATATTCCATTAAATTTATGAGAAAAATAGGTAGTATACAGTGTATGTACCTCGAGCTCTGTTCATGAGTCCCAGTTGCAAAAAAATCTTAATTACACGTGTTTACAATATTGTCCTTCTCATCACGGAATTATCTTAGTCCGTGTCCTTATCAAAATATTTTTTTAGGATTCAAATTTTCAAACAGTATTGTAACGTAAAATGTAATTACTTCTGAAATTGTTGCTAGTATAATTCGGAGACATATGTAGTATCAGCGACTTACGTCTCTGGTAGTATATACGTCTCTGTATAATTATTGTAAACGTTTGCTTTGGTTGGTTGGTTGACGGGTTTATCGCCTATATACATGACTGACGGAGGTCGGTGTTCTGTTGGCGTTAAACGTTTGCACATCGAATGCCATGTTATAACTATGGAGATCACGTGAACGGTTTCACACCTCCCTAAGTACCCAGCGAGAGTGCATCCCCGATATGAATATGACACCTCTCGGGGTATACCCAGCGAGAGTGCGTCCCCGATATGACACCTCTCGGGGTATACCCAGCGGGAGTGCGTCCCCGATATGACACCTCTCGGGGTATACCCAGCGGGAGTGCGTCCCCGATATGACACCTCTCGGGGTATACCCAGCGGGAGTGCGTCCCCGATATGACACCTCTCGGGGTATACCCAGCGGGAGTGCGTCCCCGATATGACACCTCTCGGGGTATACCCAGCGGGAGTGCGTCCCCGATATGACACCTCTCGGGGTATACCCAGCGGGAGTGCGTCCCCGATATGACACCTCTCGGGGTATACCCAGCGAGAGTGCGTCCCCGATATGACACCTCTCGGGGTATACCCAGCGGGAGTGCGTCCCCGATATGACACCTCTCGGGGTATACCCAGCGGGAGTGCGTCCCCGATATGACACCTCTCGGGGTATACCCAGCGGGAGTGCGTCCCCGATATGACACCTCTCGGGGTATACCCAGCGGGAGTGCGTCCCCGATATGACACCTCTCGGGGTATACCCAGCGGGAGTGCGTCCCCGATATGACACCTCTCGGGGTATACCCAGCGGGAGTGCGTCCCCGATATGACACCTCTCCGGGTATACCCAGCGAGAGCCATCCCCGATATGACACCTCTCCGGGTATAACCTGCAGGGGGTACATGTCCTCGATTATTGTCCAAAACTTAATGAGTCGTTTACTTATCAACTTAGAACTTCACTTTCACCTGTCTATGAAAAGTTATTGTTTTATTAACATCGAATATGGACGTTACAATGGGGTTCTTAGAGGTCAAAGAATTTGTTTAGCTTACGCAGGGACAGTATATAGAGTTCACTATACGTCCCTGGCTTACGATAAAAAAGGATATGGAAGATGAGATACATTTTATTCTTATTTTTGTCCTGCTTAAGCAATATTACTACCGACGCCCAAGTGTGTATAAATTGATTGAATTATTGTCATGTAAAAATATTAAAACATTACGTAGATTGGGTATTTATTTAAGATATGCTACCGCCAAAAGAAAAACCCTCGTGCAGTAATATTGCTGAAGTATGAATATGGAATTGTCCTCTGCCATCTTGAATATTGAAATATGTTTTGTGTTCTATGTATACATTATGCTGTATTACATTCGGAAATAAATAAAAAAAAACTTGAACTTGAATTATATGATCAATGTTCGATGCAAACAAAGACACACAGATTTTGTTATTAATTGAACTATTTAAGAAAGATTGTTGTAGATATATACTATAGTAGTGTGCGGGAAAGTATTCAAGCTAACAATACTTAGAAAAATTCTAAGTGAACATGTTCGACGGTTTCTTAAATTTACACTTACTGTCTGGTCGTTCAAACGGTTTTGTTATAACAAGAAATGTGCTACATATAATGTACAAGTCAAGGGGACATGCACACTATTATTGTTAATTGAAGTAAATACAACAAATTATAATTCAATTTTTAAACAAAATACAAAATTTCCTGGCGTATCCAGGTCAAGGTGAATGCGACACACGACAGATACAGTATGCAACAGACACATGCCATACAGTTCCCGTGGGCAGTTCTTAATTAATAAAGAGATGCATTTATTTGGAAGTGCTAGGAATTCAGGGTTTTATTGTTCATTAATTATCGTTTTTGCCATAAAGGCTAACCAATCTTAAAAATATAAATTCAACAACTATAAGAGATTTCGAAATCAATTTAGACAAACATTGGCAAAACCTAGAGCTTCTATTATATAAAAACCATCATTTGGCTAGTGACAAACAGTATCCGAAAGAGACAAAAATATATATACTATCATATGTACATTGTTTTGTTATAAGATATGGCTATAGAGGCATCCAATGTCTGCGTCCATTACCTTTCCTATCACCCCCGTTCTCAATCCGGATCTGATCCGATTTGTATCTTCCGCATGGTAAAAAACGACCGAATCTGTCCCCGACAGCGTCCCGATTCTCCCGAACGCAATCCGACAGAGTTCAGACAGTGACCGGACAGTGAACCGACGTATTCGGCAAGATCTGGATGCAATCTGAACTTAATCGGCTAGAAACGGCATTGAACATCACGACAGCGTCCTGCATGATCCACACGACACCGTCAAGACACCGTCCAGACAACACAGGAATGACCTATTATTGTCTGAACGCAGTCGTATACGTTCGTAATAGAGCCCTGAAGGATCGGGAATGGTCCGGAGAGGTCGGTCAAGCACTAAGGACGTGCCAGGTTTTGGTGGTAGAGGAAAGCAAGAGTTATCGGAGAAAAATAACCGACCGGCGGTGGCGACTGCCCCACGTAGGTCTCGAACCCGCGACCCAGCGGTCGAGGTTTGTTTGTTTGTTTGTGTTTAACGGCCCATCGACAACTGTGGTCATTTAGGAACATGGTGATTTTTTTTTGGTTAAACAAACATGTGAGTAGCGAAGATAAAATTAGATAAAAATTAATATTTTTGAAAGCATTCGCATTATATGTGTGTAAATAATTAAAATATAAAAGGTTAAAATAATAAGAGAGATAATAAATAGAGTATATGGAATATAGGATATATACATTTGTGTGTATATATATAACGTCAAAGAGGGCAAGGTGGGTTAAACTGGAACACCCACATCAATAACACTAACAACAAGGCCAATTAATGCATCCCTAAGATTTATTCGGAGAAACATCAAAACCACGAACGTAAAAACAAAAGAGTTAACTTATAAAACGTATGACCGCCCACACCTTGAATACTGTAACCCCAACTGGGATCCATGGCAGGCAAATATTACCCATAAGGTTGAAATAGTGCAGAGAAGAGCTGCAAGATACACTCTTGGGCGCTATTGCTCCAAACTCTGAACTGGCAATCCCTTGAACAACGCCGTAAAATGACCTCCAACGTATTACTATATAAATCATAAATGGCCATGTGGCATATAATGGCAACCTCCAGATTCTCCAGCGAACCCGACAACACAAATTCCAGATTCCACACAGCTCCACAAATTATCATGCAAATTCATTCTTTCCTAGAGCAATTCGTACCTGGAACAGCCCTCCACCTTTCATCGCCGACAGTGCCGACCTCTCCACACTGAAGGCAAATCTCCTCTCTCACAAATTCTAAGCATACATAGTTCTTAAAAACAAAATAAAAATACTCGTTTTTAACAGATCTTTCTGACGCCTCTGCGTAATGTTCAGTATCGTTTTAGAGTATCCTGTTGAGGTTGAAGTTGAAGACATCAGAGTCTATAGAATAAACCGGTGTCTTTCAAATAGATTTTAAAATAATGTCTCCGAGTCCACGGAACTGAAAAGAGTTTCCAAATCCGGGACTCACGAATGTGTTTTAAATCGGAACATTATATTAAAAAAAATGTTCCACTGTAAATGGAATGGCATTTGCGTGGCATGTAGGTCGATGAGTAGGATAAGTGTGCCCAGCTCGGAGCCGAGAGAGGACAACTTCCTCTCTACGATCTTTCCAACTGGGAACACATGTTTTAAGCTTCGGTTTTACTTTAAATAGTTTGTTGCTGGTCTCAAAAGACCAGCGTTGCTGCCATTCATTTTGAATGGCTGTACGAATAAAAGGTTAAAATCTGTCAGGGACAGTATATAGAGTCCCTGAATCTGTATATGGTAGTTTGATATTTATTATCCCCGAAACCAAGCGGGAGATATAAATTCCACAAATTTGCTTGTTTGTTGAAGATTCAACGCATTTTTTGCTTTCTCTGTCAACAAATTCGTTACCTTTAATTCTGACATAGCTCGAAATCAATAGTAAAGTAATTTTACATTTAAGATACGAGATATGCGAAAAGTAAGGTTTTGTATATAATTGTGTTTTTAGGATCTCGTCACTGTAAACTTTGTAGGACAGATAGAGAGTCTGAACAAAGGATTGCTCAGCGGTGGAAGACTAGTGGTATCAGAATGTCAGACGCCTTATTAAAAATCCTAGTGAAGAGTATGAATCTCAAGCCTTTCAGACATTTAAGAGCGGGAAAAAGATCATGTTCAGTTTTAACGTTTTAATGTTGAACTAGATAAAAAAAAAAAATGAAAATCGCATATTTGACGGCTGAAAAATGCTTTTTCAGTGGATCAAAAAAAAATAAATGGAAAAACCTTAATAAATAGAAATGGTGAAACAACGCCAGTTTACGGAGCAGACCAGGTCCGAATTAGACAGATTTTACATAATTTTAAAAGTTATATGAGAGGAAAAGGTGAGATCAAAGGCGAAAGCCGGTAAAGACAGGGGTCCGGATTATACTGGACCGGTTTAGACAGGACATCATTAAACAAAATGCATGAACTATTCAAAAATAAAAAAGTTGTCAATAAAACTATCTATAATAAATACAAGTGGTCCACTGTAGTTATCATCTCATATCCAAATTAGACATATGTATTCCTGGAATAACTTCTTAAAAGTAGAAAATAATTTGATGAAGCGTATTTTAGTCATGTATATCATCACAATGTGATCTACTATCTACTCTGTACCAATTTTAGGGCAACGAAATTAAAAATGAGAGACCAATCTGGGCGGAGAATGTTGAAACAGCACTAGACGATGTGCTACTAGCAATTTGTAGATCTTCGGCCCGAAGTCAAAGGTCGTGACAAAATTCCAACCTCAAATCCAAAAACTTAAAAAGGGAATATATATATCTCTGCTAACTTACTGGGGCATTGGGACTATAAGGATATATGCTATAATGGTACGTAAATTTCATACTGAGAATCTTTTTATTTATTTATAACATATGTGCAATTTATGGAAAATGCAGAAGAGACTGACCCTTTTGATATATTTAGTTAAAGTGTTTTTTTTAAATTTATGTTGCATACTACCATAGTAAGAAAATGCTATTCAATCTTTTTAAATTAACGTTCCAAAAAATTATTATTCCGCTGATTTTTATATCCATGGTACTATTTTGTGTTTATGGTAACAATGAGAATGCTAGTACAATGGGCAATGTGCAGGGAATTCACTTATTTTTGTTGAATTGAGGAAATTTGACACACATTTCTTATTGTTTATCGCTTCATTGGTTATTAATTATAAAGTATCATTACCCGCTGTATAGAATTAAACTGTAATGAATATAATATTGGCTAAAGCAATTCATGTCAAAAATTAAATATTTTGTCCGTGGGAATTTGTTGAATTGAGGAAATTTGACACACAGTTCTTAATGTCTTTCGCTTCATTGGTTATTAATTATAAAGTATCATTACCCCTGTATATAATTAAACTGTAATGAATATAATATTGGCTAAAGCAATTCATGGCAAAAATTAAATATTTTGTCCGTGGGAATGGCGTCAAAATAAAACCTTTATGAATGATGGGATGAAAAGTGATATCTCAACAGGCACCGGGCGATAATAACATGTAGGTAACCGCAAGAAAGAATGTGAAGTTAAGTTTATTTTTGGTTCAGGACTGTTATTTTATTTAAAGTCCTCTAGACATCATAGGACCGAATATCGTCCGCGATACAGCGGGATAATTCCCTCGCAATATATCAAGTTGTGTTAAAAATGGATGTCAAAAGAAGTCACGAAAATGTACGCGGAATCAAATGAGAAAATAATTTATAACTTACTCACTGAGTCTGTAACTGCATACATTGAATAACAACACCGGTGAAAGCGGCTGCAACATGCAGCAGGATTTACTCAGAGACAAAAAGCCAGTAAAAGTTAAAATAACGTTAAAAGGGTGATATTTTTAGCATAAAGTTTTGAGACGAAAACACGATTAAGAAATCGTAAGATTTAAAGTTAATTTAAACTTCATTGATATTTCTCTCATTATATATATACTATTTAGTTATAATTAACAAAATAGAAATAAAAATGGCACTGTCACACCCTGCTGACAGACCACGGGAGATAACCCATACTAGTAGTGGAGGGTATGTTTTGGTATGAAAACGAGGCTCTGTCGTAATCGCGGGAAGAAGATGGCGTATAACACGTGAAATATTAGTCGAAAAATGGATAAATCTTTCAATTGCATATTTGGTACTGGCGTAGCAGTATTGCAATTTGATTATATGGAAAGGTATTGATGTGTTTGATCTTAATGTGTTTCAGTCATAGTGTAGAAAGTTCAGAAATTACCATAGCTCGTCAACCTGACATTCAAAACATTGGCAGCCATCACTATGCCAATCTCGGACTCCGATTCGTCGTTTTGAGGAAAGAAAGTTATTCTTCTTGTATTTTGTTTGAAATATGGATGCATATTAATTCAAATCCTTTTCACAGTGTAACCTGCTGCGTAACATGCTTTCCCAAAATTATATGTTTGGAATAATAGCAATAAGTCGAGGCGTTGTCGATGCAACAAACTCAGCAGGTGGTTGCTTATAAGCCTGCACTGGTTAGAAAATGACATTTCAGTTGGTTCCTCCAAGCGCAGTACATTAAAAAACAAGTATTTTACTTATTTGAATTAAGGAAATTAATGTATTTGAAGAAAACTTGAAATGTAAACAAAATTAAACATGCATGCAACTAAATGTAAACACGTATGACATCCGGGTACGAATACTTATTTTGGGCCAATATAAACAGCACCAATGCATGGACTTGTCACTTCGTCTGTTCGATAATTGAACTATTCGGTAGCGGACATAAAACACTCCAACAACAAACAAAATGCAGGTTTAAGGTGTTAAATACAGGCTCATGTCAGTATATATATAACATGAGATGGGCTCATAACTTCCTCAAAATGATAAAATAAGGAAGTTGGTTGGTATACACACGGAATTAAATTAGACCGTGTTATCTAAGTCCGTGTATACCCATGTCAAGAACAATGTCAATAATGACCTTTGCAGAAATTATTTTTTGAAAATATTGTTGACTTTGTCTGAAAAGTATCGTTTGAATGCAGAATTTTAGTGGCACAAAATTGCAATGAATAATAGAATCATGGCATATATTTTCACTGAATAATTCACAACTGAGCATAAAGCCAACAAGGCTGACTGAAGTTGAAAAACAGCATGCAAAGCAAGTGCGATTTTACCTATACACCACTCATAACACTGCCGTTTCTCACTCTGGTAATCTGGGTTGACTTGTATCAATAGCCTTGTTAGCTTCATGAATTATTGTAACATATCCAATGAAAATACATGCCATCATTCTTGAGATTTGAAGTATTTTCTTACATTTTTCTCGATAATAGTCAATACATGATACTACAGGAACGACTGGAAGTGCAGCCATTTTTTCACTAAACCAACCAAAACTGCATGTTTCAGCACATTCTGACGTCAACCTCATTAATATTAAAAAAAAGTGGCAGGCTAGCTGCGAAAAACTTTGAAACTCTGAAATGGTGTATGTTTTTGGAGGAAACGGAGTACATGTCAGCGGAAGGAGAGTACATTTTATTTGCATATAGAAGTTTTTTAAAAGAAAAATTATCCATCTTTCCAACGGTAGTAAGCATTTTCCCGTAGATCAACTAGAAATGTTGTTTTTGATGCAAGAAAGTTTGGTGGGTTGACATTTCGACATCGAGAGCTTTCCTCCCTTCTCTATATGATCATCAGGGGTGTCATTTTTACCGAAAATCCATCTAAACCCCTAAATCATGAAAAAATTACTCTGAACACCTTTGTTTAGGTCCAAATATAGATGTAACAAATTATCAGGTCCCTGTGGTATAAAGTTGCTATGCTGCTAGAAAGGGGAATTCAATTGTGACTTGCAAAAACTATCGTTGCCAGTAAGGGGTAGTTTTTTCACAAAACATCAAGACAATTTACCCAATTTTGCGAAAACTAATAAACAAATGTGGTATCTTTATTGGTAACATATATATAAGGTCAAAAAAAAAATATGTGTGTTTCAGGTATCCCGACATGTCTTAGATTTTACTGCCCACCCTAGATATTTTACCACCTGCTTGTATCTAAGATTAATTTATTAGCCAGGCAAAGTTCACATCACTCACCTAAACTCATTAAAATGTACTTTCTTCCTGTTCTGGGAGTCTGACCTTATTCTTGACAGATTAATAGTCATTGTAATAGGTGGAAATGCATTGTAAAATTTGAAATATAACATTAAAATAAAATTGTTTGCCTACCGACCTACCCTATTTGTTTCAGGCATGTTACCAGAAACCATGGAATTAGATTTGCTATCTAAGTCTGTGCTGAAACAAAACAAAAATTGGCCTAATCTGCATAATCTGGTTGGCTGGTTTTGCTTAGTGGATAAACTTGAACAATGTAACTGAGTTAATTAATTGCTGCTGTGTCCAACTTTGCAAGGTTATGAATATATATATTAATGTCAGTTTTGTTACCTTATTAATTTCCGGCCAAAGTGGCATCCTGAAGTCTTTTGAAAATGTTCATACATGTGTCTTTTATTGTCATGTGTCTTTGGCTGTGATCCAGGTCAAACACAGAAGAGATATAAAACAATTGTTTGATTAGTCAAATCTGCATGACGTACATGCATAAACTATAGGAACTACTTGTCACTAGCTCTGTATAAAGTTCTGTAATTATTTTTTTTTCTTTGAAAGTAAATATGTAACTTTGAAATTATGTTAACATTCATATGCACCCTCCACATTGAGGTTGCCAAGTTGCTACAACTACTGAAAAATTAATGATAACCACACCAGTGTTACACTATGAGATACATTTATCGTAAGATAACTTGGCCAATGTAAAAATTGTCAGACAATTGCAAAGTCATATTTTACATTTTACTGCTGAGAGTATGAAAGCTATTAGGTATGTTGGCAGAAAGAAACCAGCTTGACCATCATTCATAATCTGAAAATTCCAAACACTGTAGTGTGGGTCAAAGGAAATGTTTGTTAAAACGTATGAATATCCTGACAGCGGTGTGGTAATATTTTGCCTGTCTCCATCAACCATGTCATTGTGACAAGGACTTGAGGTATGCTGTACATACTATTACCAGCAAATAAAAAAAGACATGTTCACCTCTTTTTTTGCATCAATGTATGATGTGAAAAAGGGCATTTTTCTCTTTCAAGGCTTCAGGTAATTCTTTCATAATTAGGCACGGTAGTCTAGTGGTAGGATGTCGGACTCGTGACTGAAGGGTTGCGGGTTCGAGTCATGGCACGCCACTATGTTGTATCTTTGACAATGATACTTTACGCCGCTTATTCTAGCTGTAAATGAGTATGTGGTTGGGCAGTGCTAGAACTGTTGAATGCTGGCAGTTAACATTGAAATGGCAGCTCTGGCTGTATGCTCCCCAGGGAGTTGAGAAAGGTATTGGCTGGTTGCAAAGGCCCTATAACCACGGATAATAACTTGTGAACCGCTTTAAGACGACCTACGAACTAGGTTGTGATAAAGCAGTATATATATTATGAACCTCAAAATATTATTATTATTATTTTAATTGTTTACACCACTTTTGAAAAGGCTGGCATATATATATGCATTATGATATCGTGACTTCAAAATGCACTTTTTTACATGTTTTCGATCAATTTGTGATGATACCCAGGTATATACATTTACCAGTCCTTCTCTTTCTGACTGAATTAAATTTATTTTCTTTTTCTGCAGGTTGATGCTGACCGAACAAGTGAACTACTGTTGACAAAGAAGAGAAGACACGTAATAAGATGGAACAGACTGACTCGGAAATCTTACTAACTGGTATATATTTGATTGGATTATGCTGTAATCAATTTCATCTTTTGGGCCTGTACCCCTTGGATTTTTTGTAGGATGGGTTGTCAATAAATATACACGATTTATTTAATTATTGATATCTAAAACATAAACAGAAAATGATTAAACAAAAGTCGAAAATGTTCATTTCACAAGCTAAATTGGAGTTATCTCCCCTGTATATATATAACATACAACATTTGATATAGCGCCCTATCTAGCTAACATGAGCCACTCTCAAGCGCTTTACAGTTCATAGATAAACAATTTTATACAGTCAATACAATTAGCATATATATAAATCAATACAATATTGTAGAATTCATAGGAGCTGCCTTATCAGGCGCTAACTACTAGTCCTACGCCACCTGGCTAATATCTCCCTATGTGTGTATGCCTGCGTGTGTGCTGGAGAGGTGTTGTGTTTTGTTTGTAGTGGGACCGTGCTTCCAACGGTATCATTTATAGTGCCACCTCACTTGAATGCTACAGCACAGATACCGCAACACCCACCCCAGACCATTTTAGACTCCACCTGGGTTGTTGGAGTTGTGTGCGCAGGAGAAAAACACTTTCTCTAATATTCCATGCGTACGGCGACTTCGGGGATCGAACCCTGGCCACCTGCTTGGAAGGCCGGAGTGTTAACCACTAGACCAATTCCGCCCACAATTGTTATGACAGAATATATGTAATGTTTGTAAATAAGTTTGGAAAGGACTTAAATAGGCCTAGCCTGATGTCCAATCCAATTGACATATATAAAGTCAATAAAATCTGATGAAATGAAATCAATTTAATATGTTATTAAAGTATACTATACTTATCTGCATACTATTTGAAATAGTATTTGAGGTGACTTCCCTCAAGTGAGGATTTGAATTTGTGAAAAATGATAATTAACAAATATTCTAGTGAATTAGCATGAACAAAAAATCTTAATGTTCTTGCTTTTCAAAGAGGTGAATTTTCCAAAGTAGTCAGTTGAATGTTGATAACTTATGTTTATAGTATCAATAATCTTAAAGTTTATAAATAGCAGGTTGTCAGTAATATTTAATTCTGGTTTTTGAACCAGAACACTGATTAGTATCAAATCTCGCAAATCATCACATAGAATTTTCCAGTTTGTTACAAATATTGCAGACAATTTTAAACAGATTTTCAGTCCTGTTATTTGAAAGGCCAAAGTTATCTGTGTTTCTGTATTTAACACTGCATGTGCCTTCATCAGCCAACATGCATGTTTTGATTTTAGACTAGCTGATAGTGTAGACTTGTCACATGAGTGTCACATGATATTGATAATGATTTTTTTTTAAAATTACAGTCATGGACAAACATCTTTTTGGGGAATTCTAGGTCACACTAATAGTGATTTCCTGACGAAGACATGAGCATAATAACGCAAATTCAAAGCAGTTCTGTAATTGAAACCTCATTTGTCAAGAGAAATTTTACCATTGTTAAGGGGTTTGGCGATAAATTGAGGGAAATGTATAAGGATTTCTTAGGAAAACAAGAAAAAGGGACATTGAAATATGTTGTCTGTACACAATGTGGCAAATAAAACCAGGAGCATCATATTGAGGTTTTGCTGTAAATACACAGAATTGAAACAAATCCTAACTTTTTACCCACCCCCCTGATCACACTACTACAGATAACAAAAATGCATGGGGCCTGCCTATGAATAATTTGAAGCTTAAGTAACTACTGTTGAAATAATGAATTTAGGGAATTCTTAGTAATTTCTCCTTTTTCTTTTGATTGCAGAGAATCAAGAACTTGTCTCAGGAACAGATGATATGGGTAGAATGGTGTATTTAGTAGTGGACAAGACACTAGATAAGTCTGGTCAGCAGGGTACGGCAGATCTGATCTATAACATAGTTGACGAGCAGGGATTATATGATCAGATGGGCACTAGCGCCACCCTGGACACAGACTCCCAGCTGATAACCGGTCACAGTGCCAGTGTCTCGCTTGATGCAAGGGGCACAGTTTACCAGTACACTGTGCCAGTGTCGTCTGTGGAGAACTACCAGCTACCTTTGGGACAAGGGGCAAGCAACTCCATTACAGATAAAGTTCGTGTGGAGAGAGTTGAACAACTTTCTGCTAATAACTTGACCCAGGCGATATCTGCGGATATGTTAAACAACAGTACTACCGCAGACATCATCCTGGCTTCCTCTGAGGAACCTGACCTCAACGACACATCTATCATACAGGTCCAGGCCTATCCCTCCCAGGACTATGGAAGTATGATGTCTATGCCGTTCATTCCATCAAATGTGCCGTCTAATATCCACACTTTGTGTATCCCGACAAGTATGGAAGATGCACAGTTACTGAACAATTTTAGTGCGGATGCCATGGAAAGCTTGCAGTCATTACTAGATGTGGACGTGGACACCACCATCACAACCACAACAGAGGAGCTCATTGATTCTGCCTTGGATCCTGCAACACCTACCATAAGCCATGAGAACTACGACAATTCGTTGCGGGCAGACATTGATCAAATTAACGGGAAGCTGACACAACAACGTTCTCGGAGTACAACATTCAGTGGCAACCATGGGGATGTTAGAAGATCAAAACGTTTAAGTTCTCATACTCCAAAAAAATACAACCATGTGCAACATGAAGTAGAGGAGGAAATTGAAGAAAGGAAAATAGCGAACAGAACTCCACCAGAGTTACTCAATGCAGAGTACATGAGTCAGGAAGATGTCAATATGGTGAAGAAAAGCGTGAGTAATTTTCGACCAAACTTCTCCTCGTATCCCACATTGTGTAAATGTAAACATAAAGAAAAAGGGACAGACATTCCAGTTGAACAGATCTGGCTACACAAGAACCAAATGTACTATCTACCTCAGATAAACATTTTGGTGATCAGCTTTGAAGAATATGTCGGCTTTCTTCGTCAAGACAAGTGGTATGTCAGTGTTGGCGAAATAACTCAAAGGCTTATACCAAACTTTCGTAGTGAGGTGGAGTCATATCTCGTAAAGAATATTTGTGACAAGCAGTTTCTGTCACTTGAGGAGATTGAATACCTCAAGCAGAGAAGATGTGTCAATCAGAGCATGAAATCTGGTACCATGATATCCTTAGACACCCTCCGGGTAATGTGCAAGTTCTTAGCCAGCACCAAAGCATTCATACAGGCACCTACAAATGGGCTGTCTAATGCAGCGCATGGTATCTTCTACAAAAAGTTACTTGAAAAAAACACCAGATGTTCCAAATGTGGGGGCGCAGTCAAGAATATTGAGGCCTCTGATAGATATGTACTTCTGGATTCTCCTGTTGAAATACTGTATTCTAGAAGAATCCAGGAGAGCTCTACATCACAAGAGACATCTCTGCAGAAGTCCATGTATGTTGGTGAAGTCACTATTGGAAATGTATTTTTTAAGTCATTCAAATTAGATGAGTTAACTTACATTTCCCTCAAGGAAATTGTGGAGTGTCAGGTGTTCAACCTCCAAGTCCTCCAGTCAAGACTTGTACAGCTTCAGTACCGACCACGACCAGCCCCCACAGCCATCGATTGTCACTTTTCCAATGAACGCACGAATGTAAACCAAACATTGTGGATCGACCTGATGACCTTGCGCTGTGCTTGTTGTATGAGTAGACAACGCTCTCCCACGTCAAAGATAGAGGTTTTACAGCAGATGTTCTCAAGAGGCCAGTATACCTGTACCTTTGACCTGGAGATCGTTGCTTTTGACGACTACGACTCGGCCAATAATGAAACTGTGTATACTTTAGATCCACACACGTACAAGATCACAACCAGACATAATTATAACCAGTCGGTTCACGCAGGTGCTGGTCGCAAAGTTCAAAGGTCATTGTCCAATGAGGAAGAGAAAAGAACGGAAACAACCAACGTAGTGATGAAAAGCAACCTTCCTTCTGTGAAACCAAAAGCAAAGTCTTCTAAAGTGACTATCAGGAGGACATCTCCCCGAAAAACTGTTCTGGAACCATCTCGCACTGAAGAAGAAGAAGCCTTGTCGCTCAAACCAGGTGTGTATTACTTTGCTGACAAGAACAGCATTGTAGACTTTCTGAAAAATAAGACCACTAATGATACTCTCAGAGAGGACATGGAGTGTAAAGTTATTTCTCAAAAAAGATCAAATATACCAGCACTCTCAAAACCAGTGTTCCGAGTCAAGTCTGCTCCAGAAACGGCACCACACCTGATAAGGAGCGGAAGCTACTCGCACAAACGAGCAAATAACCAGAAGACACATGCAGCTCCCAAAAGAGGCTTCAAGAGAAAGCTACAGGAATTGCAAACGGACACACACTTTAACACTGAAGTGATACATGACTTTACTCAGGATGTCACTTACTGTGAAAATAGGACAAGAAAGGAAAATGATGTGTCAAGTTCAGTGCAATATTATCAGGACATTCAAACAGTACCTCAACTCTCTTCACAGCATGGTCACGATACTTATGAATATTCTACATCAGGGCGTCATGATCTTGGCCTAGTGGAAAGCCCAGAGGTTCAGGATAAGAATGTTGACAGTACAGCAGCTCATAATGTAGAGGAGGAGATGGAGTTTTCACACAGTTGCGGAGGAAAGGGTCGTTTGACAACTCATCCTAGCTCAACAGTAGGCAACCTTCAGGATGTTGAAACACAGGGTACAGGACACAAAAGTAAGGTTTTCCTAAATGAATCGAACAATGAGGAGGAAAACTATGACGATTACAGTAACAATGACTTCGGAGAGATTGAAGAAGAGTTTTCAAATTCGAGTGCAGATGTTAAGGCCGATAATCTGCATTCTGTGCCTGAAAATAGCAAATTCTCCTCTCCTGAACAATCAAATAGTATCTTTGATAAAAACCAAGATTTATCTACGTCTACACCGCACTCTGTTTTCAAAGGAATACTAAGGACTCCTCGTAAAAGAACAGAATATCATTCCTCAGAGTCCTCAAGTGTACAATCACCAGTGGCAAATGTGGACTTGATAGAACAGACTAGAAAACTTCCATGTCCCAATTGGCTTTCTCCATCTGCTAGGCTAAGATCAGCACGAAGTGGCGATTTGTCACTGTCACAAGTTAAACCCAACAAATATGACATTGGTATGACACCAGATGAGATTGTCAGAACAGATTTGTTTTCACCAGGAGATGGTGGGATCTTTTCCACACCTTGTGTTTCTCCAATACTTGATAGAAAATCAGACAAAACGGGAAAAACATATAAAATGGAAAGACTGTATAACAAGTGTGCTTCATTAGACACCTCAACAGATGCAGATAAATCCTTACATGTGTTAGCAACTGTAGCAACAGATCTTGAAACACTGGATAAAACTTCACAATCCAATATATCTGACAGAAATCACCTTCGTGTCTTCAATTCCGTTGTCCCTTGTGAGTTGGACAAAGAGAAATCTGTTGGTGTTGGCACCAAAAAGACCATGAAAAGGGATAGATTTGTGTTGTTCTTAAGACAGTTACTAGACCATGTGACAATTAGTAGAGAATCTCCTTCAAAGAAATGTGTCGCTGTGAAATTCAAGGATGTTGCTAAAACACACTTCCCTGGTAAGTTGAAAGTATGATATTAACAGTGGCTGTGGCCCTCCTGGGGGCAGAGGGGCAGGGCCAAATAGGGGGGTTAGAGGTAAAACCTTTAAAATCCTTTTTCTGCCATAGGGATAAAGGTATTTTATCCAAATCTAGTGTGGAGCATCGTTGGGCCAAGGGGACTTAATTTTGTATAAATGATGGGTGTGGTCCCCCTTGGGGCAGAGTGGTGGGGTCGAATAGGGAAAAAGAGGTAAACCTTTAAAATTCTTCTTCTACCATACAGATTAAGGAATTTTATCCCAATTTAGTCTGGAACATCCTTGGGCAAAGGACTCTCAAGTTTGTATAACCGGTTGATGTGGAATTTGAGGTGGTTTAAATCTTTAAAATCCTTCTCCATCTGTACCATAGGTGGTATTTTATCCAAATTTGGCCTGGAGCATCCTTGGGCAAAGGTGACTTTATTTTGTATAAACATTAGTTGTAGCCCCTCTGCACTGGCCCCTCTGGATGCAGAGCGGTAGGGCACAAAAGGGAATTTGAGGTTAAAATATATACATATCAATCCTTCTCCTTCTTAACTATTGGATGGATTTTATCCACATTTGACCTGGAACCTTTTTTGGCAAATGGGACTAAATTTGTATTAATGGAAGGTATATATAGTCCCTCTGGGTGCAGAGTTGTGGGGCCCAATTGGGGAATTTGAGGTTGAAATCTTCAAAATCCCTTTTCCTCTGTACTATTTGAAGGATTTCATCCACATTTGACCTGGAGCATCCTTGGGTGAAGGGGGAAACAATTGTGGGGCCCAATAGGGGAATTTGAGGTTGAAATCTTTAAAATCCTTCTTCTGAACCATTAGAGGTATTTTATGTAATAAGAATATTTTCCCATGGTTGCTTTATTATCCAGGTGAGCGATACAGGCCCTCTGGGCCTCTTGTTTAAAATAAATTATTATTCAACAAATTAAAATAAATTGTATCTTTGAGTAGGGAAACTGAACTTGTTTGTTTGTGTAGGCTAGGGATTGCTGCTGAGGGAAATTGTCGAGTGTATTGAACAGTATTTCATATCTATAATATATATGATGGTTGCTCAATGCTACCGCCTGGTATTTATCTTAAAAGGTTTTATTAATCTTGAAGTAGTATAAGTAAAAAACTTGTTAAATAGTGATCATGTCATGTTTTCAATTTATCTTTATTGACCAGCACTTTGGAAGGAGTCAGGACAGACAAGACTGAAAAAGCTGGCCAGGCTTTTGGCACTAAGTGTCCCTGCCAGGTACGCATGATGTTGGCCTTTATGAATAATATATATACCTGTGTACATATATACAAAACTATTCAATATTTATCTCCAGGGATAAAAAAAATGTATACAGAAGTTTTTGTAATGTTGTATTATAATTATAAGCTAACCTGATATGAAATGTCTGTGAGCTTTCTGTTAGGGTGTTGTCATTCGTCCATCAACATTTTCTTTGAATGACATTTTCTTAAGAATTGAAGGACCTAGGGTTATGATATTTGAGTAGTTGGTACCTGGGAGAGAGTGCTAGAAAGTTTCCTCAAATAAATGACTTTTACATACTTCATAGGTCACATCATCCACGATATCCAGGGGTTACGCTAACTTGCGCTCTCTACACCCATGGAATATGTCATAGCAAAATTGAAGACTTGGTGTGCGCCACCTTGTAAATGAGACAAGAAGACTACTTTGATCCTTTGATATACATCAAAAGAATCTCGCGGTCACATAACGGTAAAATTTGACAGGCTTTGAAGTCGGGCATCTCTCCTTTTTAATATTCAAAGGACAGGCATCAGCCTAGCGATTGGTCAGGTTTGTTTTATCTGAGACCAATCAAACAGCTATCTTCATGCCTTTAATTTTGCTATGACATATTCCAGGGGATGTTAAGAGCGAAAGTGAGCGTAACCCCTGGATATCGAGGATGAGGTCACATGGGTCAAAAACATAAAAACCTTTAAATAACTTCTTAATAACCAGAAGGCCTGGAGTGATGATACACTTGGCCAGTAGGTACCTGGCATTGAGTGCTACGAAATTTCCTCAAATAAATGACTGACCTACTTCTAAGATCACAGGGATCAAATATGTAATAACTTTTAACAACTTCTTTTGCATAACCTTATAGTTCTGAATTAGTCCAGTCTTTTAATATGTGTATGAGCAACTGAATAATTTTCTGCAATAATTCTTGATACCCTGCTACAATTTATATTTTCCAGTGCTGTGGAAGATGGCTTGCCTTTGACGTGATAGCTATACAGAAGTTGGTTCCAGTCCAGACTCATGTTTCAAGTGTACAATGAAACCTCATTAATTTGTATTACAGCATTCCAAAATGCTTGCTTTGTTTATCCAGTTCACTTCATATCTGAAGCTGACTATTTTAAATCCCAGGATATGCATATTTTCACTTTTGATAATTATAAACATGTTACCGATTCAAATTTTTCATTAATAAGCTATCAAGGCTTTAAACAACCAAGTACTGGACACTGTAATATGGACCATTCCCGATTCTAAATTGTCCGGTCCAGTGAGGTCCTTCAACACGTTTCTAGTTATATCAAAGCAGGTGTCCTTATAATTAACAGAACTTAAGGTGTAGCATATTATCAATTTTGTGAGCATCCCTATAAGTAGAGGGTGTCTAGGCAAGATGAGAATTTAAACCTGGTGAAGAATATTATTGAAAAATGCATAGTGGAAGACCAACAAATAATAATGTTCTTATAAATTATGAAGAAAACCTAAAATTAGGCAGCAGCTTTTTTAAAGAACAATAATTTTACTACTGTTAAAGGTGATGAAGGTTGATTTGGAAAATATTCTTTCCAATTAGAATTACTTTATCTTTAAAGATAAAGAAATGTGTATTTTTGAAAAGTTTGTGGCCACAAATAACTTAAATAAGGGATCATGAGTTCTATCTGCGTGATAGATGTGTACATGTACAATATACTGGTATTAAATGTACAAAAAAGACTGATAACAGAGATTTTGTCTTTTAACGTTTATTTTATTATTACAGGTTTAGAATTTGGTGTTTTGTTTAATACTGAAAGAGTGAATATAATGACAGAAATTTGCATCATAAATGGACCAAACTTTAACATCGGAACACTCTTGACTCCCTTCAAATACATGTAATTGTGTTTATAGTACTGGTTCATCTTCAGGGCTTTTCGATACAATCTTGTCCTGTATAACTTTTAACATGTTAAAACCATCATGATGAAATTTGAAGTATACTTGCATAACCCACAAATGTGCAGTGTACTGTGATATGGTCACTGCAACATTAATTTCAAAATAAAATGTCAAATACGTCAAAAAAAGAAAATACAGCCAAATGTTGTCCAGGCTCTTGCCAAAGTGCAAAAATATTGTGGTATTTCTGCTGGCAGGCAGGTGTTGTTTTTCAGGATATTGTGATTTGACCAGCTTCAAGATACAAGTTTCTCTTGTTAGGAAAGTAATGAAGACACTGTGTTAAAATTGAAATGATAGTTTCCAGATATACAGGTGCACATTTATTCAGGAGTTTCTATGAAAGATTGATTGTATTACATTTATAGATTTATATTTTAAAATGAATGGCTGGGTGCTATTATATGATTACAATGTTGCGTTTTGTAAAAGCTGTGTTCAGTATTTAGTTATTTGTATGTGTTTAAAACTCATTGAATGATATTAGAAAGAAAGGGGATGGATCCAAACAATTTTACTGCAAGTACTTCTGGTTGTTTTCTAAATGTTAACCGATGTTTTCTTGAAAAAAAGACAGACATTGATCCAGAAATTTTAAAAGGATTTTTTTTTTATCCTGCATTTACTATTACATACTATTATGTATTTTATTTTCATGATAAAACAATATACATATAAGGGAATCAAGTTATTATTTTACCAAAATCAAATAAAGAACTGTTGATTGCAATCTGATTAAAATCATATGTTACATGGCTTCGTTAACTTCGTACTACGCCTGAACCCATGTAACGGATGATTTTAATCAGATTGTGTTGATTGATAAATCTTGGTTGTCAAATATATATTACTGTAGTGATTGGACTATGTGCAGAAAAGAAATGAGATTTTATTGGTAATTCTGAAACTGCATTTATTTATTATAAAGGAAATGTTGCTTTATTCTGGAGATCTGATTTATTTGGACAGATGGTTTACTTTGTAATAAATGAGGATATGAATGATACTTAAAAAACCAAGTTCATGTTTTGTGATATGTGGTGGACTTCCAGGTCATTGAAGTGTTAGGACATCTGTAAAATACCGTTTAGGCTTTGTTATGAATAGCATGTGCATTATTATTATTATTATTTTGCAGCTGTGTGTTGTAAGCTGTTGGAAGAATTACTTTTTGCTCAGGGTATGAGAGAAAAGTCATTGCATATGCATTGAGAACACGTTCTCTTGTAATTTTCCACACTTCCTACAGTTAGTTGGTGTAAAAAATGACCTGGGAATTTTCTAAAAGATGCAGAGTGAAATCACACTCTAAAACCCAAGAACATCCCCAATCACTAATTAGTGCTATGAAAAAAAGTATTTTCCACTGAAAAAGTTACAAATTTATGTGTATTTTTAAGTTTAGGCTGACAGGTCTGTCAATTATATCAAAAATGACATTTTGATACCCTTTTATTTTTTTTCTCTAATGTCCATATCTCGTACAAATATCCACGATCATCTATTCTGTAAGTCGGAGGATGTCGGAATCCCAAAGAGGTGATACATGGTATGTGTCAATATAACCTGCCTACAATCGGCGTTAACTACAATATAATGGAATGATGCGGTATTTAGGAGGATGGGCAAAACAAATTAAATCTGTTGTGTCTGTTACAGTTACTATGTTCGGTTGATTGTCCAGTAATTTTGAAAACAAATCTCGAAAAAGAAGGCATTTTGATAATCAGTTAGTCGGACTTGTCATCTTTGCTACCTCACAATATGTTTACTTAGTGGATCCATATACTATAACAGTACAATGTTTACTATATATACGATATGTACTTACATACCTATTTGATTACTTCCACATTATTTTTCATTGAAACAATGCTTGTCAAATTTAATATAAGTTCAAAATTTATGTAATGGAGTCCTAGTGTGGACTGAATTTTTTGGTTGTTTAACCACAAAAACAAGATTTTCTTAAAATTTCATCTTGAAAGCTTCATATGAAACAGTATCAAGAGAAAAAGACGCCCAAAACGACAAATCGTAATCAGCAATTTTATTTTGAGAGATACGAGGGCATATCTAATTAAGACCTGGAGGAAAATCAAACTTTGTTGGATTTAACATGACAAAACACTTTTTTTCAAATGTTTAATTTTGAGGAAAATTAGGACTATGTCTGATTATTAAGATACGGGAAATCCAAAACGGTAGCTAAAGACTGAGTAAGTTGTTTATCATGCATATAAGTTTACTTGTAATAGTTCTAATATACTAGTCACAATTATGAAATAATAGTTCATATTCATTGATTAAAATGTCATGCACACTGTGCGTATGCAATAATTTCGTTTTTTATGTTAAATCAAAAATGTTTTACTCTCTAGTTGTTAGTACCAGCTTGTTGAATATTTGCATTATGTAAAGTTTAATAAAAAAAACTTTTAAACATTAACGTTCTTTTTTTCTGTAGTGCTTCTTAACATGTCCTCACAGCTTAGTTTGATATCAGTACTGTTGTTTATAGAGATAAAAAAATACTTCCCAATGCATACGACTTTTATAACCCATCTGCACAGTATTATTGTCTGATCTTAACGATTTAGTTAAAGATGCCATGAAATTTGACATATCTTTAGTATGATTTTGGAAGTCTGTAATATATATTTCTCGGAAAGGAAATTGAAAATATTTCTTAAAGTTCATCAAATTTCATCAGAGGTTCCTCCTTCCCTGGTTTGTGTGCATTTCATTTTGAGCTTCAAACAGCTTGATCAACAGAAAAATATGACATCCAGAACAAAACTTGTTACACTTGAACTCCTAGGGTCAAAAATAAACTCGCTATTAAAAGGATATTGAACAAAGCATTATGAAGCTTTACTCAAATTAGATGCGTTGGCAGTTGATAAGATTTCGTCTTACATGGAACATAACAGTGTTTCGCTACAGTGGGTGCAAATATCCCTCTAGTATCCCCTCTGGTATCTTGTTATCTGAAATGCTTTTCCTAGTCTATACACGTATAACGTGGCAGGGTTTTACCATAATGAAATGTCATGAATTGGAACTAATGTCAGTTATGTTCTCAAACCTGTCCTTCAGGTTCAAACCATTTCCTTCAATGTACCTTCGGTTTACCAACATGATATATATAAATCCGATGATGTATTATGAGATTATTTCCATTTTGTCTACGATGTACAAAGTAGTGTTTACAATCTGACGGATTTGTGTTAATGTTTTGGAATATTGCAACTTGCGTCGAGATTTGTAACCCATCAAAACTTTTATCTTGACATTTCTAGTATTGACGCCAACCAACGAAAAAAATGCCTGGGATGTTGATATTTTGCCAGTAGCATGCTAGGATGCTGCGCTACCAAGTTTCTAAAAATGAATGACCTTGAATTATATTCAAGGTCACAGGGGTCACATATGTTTAAAATCTTTAAATGACTTCTTCTGAATAACCAGAAGACCCAAGATGATGATATTTGGTCAATAACATGCTGGGATGAAGCACTACCAACTTTGTTCAAATGAATGACCTTCGTCCATATTCAAGGTCACAGGGTTGTCAAATATGTTTAAACTTTTAAACAACTTCTAAATAACCAAGAGGCCTAGGGTGTTGATATTTGGCCAGTAGCATGCTTAGATAAAGGGCTAACAAGTTTGTTTAAATGAATGACCTTCGCACATATTGAAGGTCACAGGGGTCAAATATGTTGAACTATTTAAACAACTTCTTCTGAATAACCAAAAGCTTCAGGGTGATGATATTTGGCCAGTGGGATGAAGGGCTACCAAGTTTGTTCAAATGAATAACCTTCGCCCATATTCAAGGTCAAAGGGTCAATTGTCTTTAAAACCTTTAAACGACTTCTGAGTTACCAAAAGGTCCAGGGTGATGATATTTGGCCAGAAGGATGTTGGCATTAAGGGCTACCAAAATTGTTATAATGGATGACATGACCTTCACTCATATTCAAGGTCACTGGAGTCAATTGTCTTAAAAACCTTTAAAAGACTTCTTCTGAATTACCAAAAGGTCCAGAGTGATGATATTTGGCCAGTAGCATACAGGGATAAAGGGCTACAATATTTGTTCAAATGAATGACCTTTGCCCATATTCAAGGTCACAGGGGTCGAATATGTTTAAATCTTTCAACGACTTCTTCTGAATAACTTAAGTGTACAGGGTGATTACTTGTAGATGTGAATGACCTTGACACACTTTCATGGTCACATCTGGTCCATAGTATAAATCTTTAAAAGTCGTCTTCACAATAAAAAAAAGGTATTAGAGGGTGGTGATATTTGACAAGTTGCAGTCTGGGATGAAGGGCTATAAAGTTTTTTCAACTTAATGTCCATGTTTGACTTTCAAGGTCAAAGGGGTGAAAAGTGTTTTAATCCTTCAACAGGTTCTTCTGCATGACTTTAAGTCAAGACAATGATATTTTGCCTGTAGCTTTGTTTTAGTCCTCTTTTAAGGTTACAATTGTGCGATTAATACCAGGTGAGCGATGCAGGCCTATTGGGCCTCTTTTTTGTCCGAACATTTTATTTCTTTTTCTTTGACAAATAAACTAAAATAAGAAATTAACTTCGAAAGATCAATCCTCTATTGCCAGTGACACTGCTTCCTTGCTGGTTGTCATTATATTTGAAGGTGAGCACCTATAAGGACTGGGACAATCATGTCATGATGAATTACACAGCATCGTCGCAAAGAAAAATAATCGGACTAAAATTTGAGACCTGATCATACTCCAACGTATCGTTCGAAATTTTGAGTAAAATGTCTGCTCCTTTTGATCAGCTTCATCATAATAAGGAAATCTCCGTTTGAGCTCTTCTGTTCCATCCAATATCGAAGCACATCTTTTGCCAACTGTTCTAAAACGAGGTGTAGATAATGATGCAGTGAACTCAAGATCTCTGTAAACTTGTCTTTATTTTCCGAACTAGAAATATTGGCTGGGAGGCAACTTGAAAACACTTTGATGGAAATTTTCTGGCGACAAACTGCAATCTACTTACCATTCTCTTTAATAAAACAAAAACCAGCACTCCCTGAGAGTATGCAATACCGTTGTTGCAACATTAGACATTGGCTATTCAGCCGTTCTAGTCCTATGGCATATTGTACATATATGGTATATCTGCATGTTTAGGCAATGATGAATCCAATGACGGAGCTCTGGACTTTTGCGTTCTGTTGAAGCCAAGAAAGCATGATCCTTATTCGAACCTGTTTGAGGCATCTTGCTATACCAACCTGTCCTATAAGATAGATATATAATATAATATAGTGTAATCCTATACACAAGTGTATGTGATCACCAAACTTCATGCCAAAGGGGATGATTTCTTATTTCGATTTGTAGCAAGCTTGTTGAATGGCGGTGTCTGGATGAGCTCACGATATGTGAAAATTGAACCGGACTATCGCAACTCATTCTGTTTACACCTCAACATCAGAAAAGTGGCTTACTTTCGTTCCAGCCAGCGCCATAAAGATCTCTTTATATTGAAACATAAGTGTTAGTAGTCTCTCAATCGTGTTACTTTCAAGTCAGGAATACGGGGTTGCTCGATCATTAGGTCCTTGCCCCAGACGGCTACAAAACAGTACAAACTTCTGACTTTTTCGTTGTTTGCAAAATTTATCCAGTGTACCGAAATATTGCACTAAGTTCTCTAAGGTCACAGTCAAAAAAAACGCACGGTCACTTACGGTAATCAATGTTTTTACAAATCAACATCTGGAATTATGGAGCAGACTTCCAACATAACTCCCGACACCTGGAATACTATCAAAAACCAAGTGACGGATTTTTGCTACTACATGTACGTGTTTTGCACTAGTCGTTTACCACTAGGTAAATTTTGTCTAAAGCAATACACATTTTATTAGAGGTTCCATGACCTATATTTACAGCCTTTTGTTCAATATGTCAATGAGTACCTAAAAAGAAAGAACATATTTGATTTTGAAACGCTGCATCGAGCAGTACTTCGAAATAAATGAAAGATAAACTATGCTATAACCATTACATTGATTGGGCCATGTCTATAAAGCATTCTAATACAACTTGTCACTACGAGTGTGTGTCTTCACGTTCCTGTCAAAGACACTTATATCAAGCATGTAATCGTAACAGCTGACGCACGTTCTAACATTTATTGGATCCTTCGTACAGTCGTCGACATATTTTACATAGATTTATACTGCACTCGTAATATACTACTCACATTCTGCTAAGGATCACCTATATTTCGAAGGAAATACGCTTTTCCACGTGTATACCCCTTTCAAAAGCTAAGCTAGGCTTAGTAAGGCGTTGTTCAAATTGTTAAGGAAATCAATTTGATGAACATTCTTTGCGTATTTTTGTTTTAATATGGCACAAAGACGAACCAGACAGCGGTTAAATGACGGTGAAATGAATAGGGGCATCGGAATGCTGCAAGCTAGCATGTCTCAACGTCAGGTTGCAGCAGAACTTGGGGTGTCACAAAGTGTGGTGGCAAGAATGTGGAATCGTTTCCAAACTAACGGAAACCCTTCCAGACGTCATGCTGGAGGTCGTTCTAGAGCTACAACGCAGCACCAATGCCTATTTTTGCTCATACAGACACGGTGTCACAGGTTCCAGACTGCCACATCTTGACGAAATTACCTCCTAAATGCTTCTGGTATCCGGGTAGCCAATCAGACAGTTAGGAACCGTCTTCATGATGCTGGTTTAAGGTCGCGTGGACCAGCAATACAAGTTCCCTTAACTGCCCTCCATGTTAGGGACCGATTAAATTGGGTCCAAGCTCACAGCAATTGGACTTCAGGAATGGGAACCGGTTCTTTTTACTGACGAGTCCAGACTCTGTCTCGACTTCACCGACAGGCGCGTTATAGTATGGAGACAACATGGGGAGAGGTTCCCGGCAGGTAACGTTGTGGAACAGAACCGATATGGCGGAGGTTCAGTGATGGTGTGAGGAGGCATAAGCCTTCGTGGGAAAACTTACCTCCATGTCTTCCATAATGGTACCGTTCCTGCCCGGATTTACTGCGATGAAATCCTTGATGCCTATGTCAGACCATACGCTGGCGCTATCGGCCCTGACTTCATCCTTATTGATGATAATGCTAGGCCACATAGAGCAAGGGTGACTAAGCAGTATCTACAGCAAGAGACTATTCAACGAATGGACTGGCCAGCCCGCTCGTCGGATCTAAATCCCACCGAGCATGTGTGGGACATGCTGCAGACAGCTCTCTATCTGCCAGAAATATTCAGCCAAAAACGCTCCAGGGGCTGGAAACAGCTTTGGTAGCTGAGTGGAATGCTATCCAACAAAACTAGATACGCGATCTCATTCGAGGCATGCGCAGACGTTGTGAAGCTGTAATCGATCTCATGGACGTCACATTCCATACTAAACAGTTTCTGTTTATTTAGGATGAGTTTTAATCAATTTAAGTTTTTTTTAGTGAATACCTCGTTGTTACCAGTTTTAAGGGTAACCCTTTTCCTGTGGCTCATTTTCCGACTGTAATTACGATTTTTGGAATTTTTGCATGCTGATGAATTAAAAGAACAATCAATTTAAGCTCACCTGACCCGAAGGGCCAAGTGACCTAATGGCATGGTGCGGCGTCCGTCGTCCGTCCGTCGTCTAGCGTCAATATATTAAAGGTCACAGGGGTCAAATATATTTAAACGCTTTAAATGGCATCTTCTGAATAACCAAAAGACACAAGGTGTTGATGTTTAGCCAGTAGCATGCTATGGTGTAGGGCTACCAAGTTTGTTCAAATGAATGACCTTCACTCATATTCAAGGTCACAGGGGTCAAATGTAAAAAAAAAACCCACTTTAAACCACTTCTTCTGAATAATCAAAATGTCCAGGATGTTGATATTTGGTCAGTAGCAGACTAGGATGAAGGGCTACAAAGTTTGTTAAATGAATGGCCTTGACTTATATTTAAGGACACAGGGGTCAAATATGTTTGAAACTTTTAAACAACTTCTTCTGAATAACCAAAATGTCCAGGATGTTGATATTTGGCCAGTAGCAGACTAGGATGAAGGGCTACAAAGTTTGTTAAATGAATGACCTTGCCTTATATTTAAGGACACAGGGGTCAAATATGTTTGAAACTTTTAAACAACTTCTTCTGAATAACCAAAATGTCCAGGATGTTGATATTTGGTCAGTAGCAGACTAGGATGAAGGGCTACAAAGTTTGTTAAATGAATGACCTTGACTTATATTTAAGGACACAGGGGTCAAATATGTTTGAAACTTTTAAACAACTTCTTCTGAATAAACAAAAGGTGCAGATTAATGATATTTAGCAAGTAGCATGCTTGGATGAAGGCCTATCAAGCATTTTAATTTGAATAACCTTGACCCACTTTCATGGTCACATTTGGTCAAATATGTGTTAACATTTAAATGACCTTATCTTAATAAACAAAAGGATACGGTGGTGATATTTTGAAAGTTGCATCCTGAGATGAATGTCTGTTAAATTTGTTCAGCGTTATGACCTTATTGGTCTTTTAAGGTCACAGGGGTGACATGGTTTTTAAATCTTTTAACAGGTTCTTTTGAATGACTTATAGTCATAAATACTGATATTTTGCCCGTAGCTTTATTTTAGATCACTTTTAGGATTACAAGTGTGAGATTTAGACCAGGTGAGCGATGCAGGCCCATTAGGCCTCTAATTCAATAATAATCTCAGTATAAACCAAATAAAATATTTATTTTCACATATGCCCAAAAATATAAGTGATCCTTAGCAAAATGAGAGTAGTATATATACTTGGTATTCTTCATAAAGATTCTGCCTGAAACCGTTCTCAAGCTCAAGCCTAATTTCTTGTTATGGTTATCAAATTAATAAAAAAAAAAAATTGACAATGATTTGGAATGTATATGAAGAGACTTAGAGCCGAGTACTGTTTTCAATGTTTACATTTGCATGGCTATTCGATTGTTTGGCATGAGTAAAGCCAGTTACAAGAATACTGGTTCTAGCACAGAATCCATGCTTGAGCATGAGAACGGTTTCATGAATACGGGTCCAGGTACTCGTCCGATTCTTAAATTTAACTATGACGAATTAATGTTCTTGAATAACAGGAATTTCGAGAATTACTTCCTCGGTAACGTACAGGACTCCACTGTGTATGAAGTTAAGATGTCAAAATCGCTTTTCCTCTGTTATCAATGTAAGGCTTTTTGTTGTATAAAATGATACATATTCCAGGGGGGTAGAGAGCGAAAGTGAGCGTAACCCCTTGATATCGAGGATGATTCCATGGGTGCAGAGAGCGAAAGTGAGCGTAACCCCTTGATATCGAGGATGATTCCAGGGGCGCAGAGAGCGAAAGTGAGCGTAACCCCTTGATATCGAGGATGATTCCATGGGTGCAGAGAGCGAAAGTTAGCGTAACCCCTGGATATCGAGGATGATTACAGGAGTGCAGAGAGCGAAAGTGAGCGTAACCCCTGGATATCGAGGATGACTGAAGTGTCACATCATAGTAAATGGAAATATAGACAGTGAAACAGCATCAGTTTGTACACTCTAAAGATATTAAAGTCTTGAATATATATATGCACCAAAAATCGATTATCATATGTTCTCTATGTACATATGACTTTAAGGTTCTAGTAACAAGTGTGGAAGTTGGTCGTATTTGCATGCTTCGGTCCATTTTTACTATACGAAGTTTTCTTTCACACAATTGAAAGTTCTAAAAGAGCACCGGAAATTTAAGATACATTTGTTCGATGCGATTAAATTGAACCAGTTAGCGATGAATCCAGGAGAAAGGCACGTGGAGTGTAATGATGATAACATATACATCATATACAGATACATGTAATATAAACAACTCGACAAGATGAATATAGTCACGTAGGCATCGTGGAGTAATACATTACAGATTGTCCTTCATTCTAACATGTGGCGGGACTTTAATTTATTTTTTCACCCCTTGGCAATTAGGAACCGCAGGCTCTTTTCGTAAACGAGATAAAAACAAGTATGTTCTCTTTTACGGAAAGTGCCGACGGTTTCCGATTGGGTAATGAGATGCTTGACAAATAGGTAAATATTGTTGGATTGTTGGTCTGTTTTGAGTTGTCACATTTTGTAACAGATAACCTGTGAAATGAAGGTTTTTTTTGTGATTTTCGTTGGGAAATAAAGCAACGAATCATTACACAGCGTTTTCTTTTGTAGCGTGTTCTTGGAATAAAGCCACGTATCCTCACAGAGAAGCACATCACAGGTACTCTTTTCCATTGTTATGTGTATCGGGGAAATATAACCACGTTTCATTACTGAGTAGAACATCACAGGTCTTCGTCCTTTACAATTTGTGTCGGAACCACTTCCAGCAAACATTGTCCAGCGCGTGTGAGGGAAGCTACAACAAAGAGTGTCTTAACGTCAACGTCGTGGTACTGACATAAATTAAAATCTAATTGAAAATGCTGTACGAGAATATCTAGGCGTTATTGATCACAGCAACGTATTCCTTACATATGTGAAACGTTTTTGATTTATCTATCCCATATTAGCCTGTAAGATATATAATTCTATCCACTTGATAAAACTGATGTATTTTATGCTGTAACATATATATATATATGTCACAATGTGATCGAAGATTTTCTTTTTTTGGTGTTGAGAAATCAGAACCCTGTGGTAAGTTCTATCCAATGCATTCACGACGTTCAAAGCCGCATATTGTTTTTGTCTTCTTTATTTTTCATTTTCTCATATTGTACTACGTTTTGAACTGGTTATTTTGGTAAACATTCTTGTTGGAAAATATGAACAGTTGTCGAAGCAGAAAACGGTAGAATTGCGTTGAGTGGCTAATTGAAAATGGCGCGCAGCCTTGTTGTCAATCGTGACGTCATGATAATATGGCACCCGAAAAATTGCTTGATTACAATGTAATAAATAGATAATATTAAATGGTTTTCCCTTTGAACACATATACCGTATCTCACTCATATGGCATATGGAATAAACAGATAAGTATCTTGTGTTTCGCACTCGTGCACAATTCAGTATTCTGTTTCTTATCTATGCCAACTGCAAGATCCATACACTTACCCATGCCAGGAATACTGAGTTTGAAGTAAACCACGGGGATGTAAACAACAGCCCCGGCGCCTAAGAAAGCCAGAGCGTACAGAAACTCGACCTTCGGGTCCTGTATAAATGGTGTCACTACCAGATATATAGAGATTAGTAACACAAATATAGGTATTACTAGGGGAACCTGAAACAAAAACCACACAAAATAATATATTGTTAAGGGAAGCTCTAGTATCACAGTAACACAAATGGTGGTAGTAGCAGCACGTGTACCACAGTCATTGATAGAATTTGTCAGATATGTATTTATCAATCTAGTTTTGAACTTCAAATATCCTGGATTAAGCTAGCCAGATTTAAAGGTAAGAAGCAAGATATTGAAAGTGATTTAATTGTTTTGATATTTACATTAATATTTCTTTAAGGTAATGCCTTTGCACATATGGCAATGATTCTAATTTAGAATGACCATTCTATGTCTTGTTCAAGTATGCATTATTTTTGAGTTCGTGTATCTGTTTGTCCAGGCAGACAGTAACACAGTAACACAACAGCACATGAAACACACTACGGAGAGTACAAATATTTGTAAGTACAACACAGAAACACAAAGAATCGTAATTAGGGGTATTATAGGTTATACAGAAATAGAAATTATGATCGTTGTAATATAGACACACATCTGTAGTACTAGGTGTTAATGCTACATTGAAACACTTATTGTGATAACACCATGGGTACATGTAATACAGAAACGCAGATATGGGTAGTACTAGGTGTTTATGTTACATAGACACACTAATTGTAATAGCATCATGGGTACATGTAATACAGAAACACAGATATGGGTAGTACTAGGGGTTTATGTTACATAGAAACACTTATTGTGATAGCGCCATGGGTACATGTAATACAGAAACGCAGATATGGGTAGTACTAGGTGTTTATGTTACACAGAAACACTAATTGTGATAGCATCATGGGTACACAGATATGGGTAGTACTAGGCGTTTATGTTACATAGACACACTAATTGTGATAGCATCATGGGTACATGTAATACAGAAACACAGATATGGGTAGTACTAGGGGTTTATGTTACACAGAAACACTAATTGTGATAGCACCATGGGTACATGTAATACAGAAACACAGATATGGGTAGTACTAGGGGTTTATGTTACACAGAAACACTAATTGTGATAGCACCATGGGTACATGTAATACAGAAACACAGATATGGGTAGTACTAGGGGTTTATGTTACACAGAAACACTAATTGTGATAGCACCATGGGTACATGTAATACAGAAACACAGATATGGGTAGTACTAGGGGTTTATGTTACACAGAAACACTAATTGTGATAGCACCATGGGTACATGTAATACAGAAACACAGATATGGGTAGTACTAGGGGTTTATGTTACACAGAAACACTAATTGTGATAGCACCATGGGTACATGTAATACAGAAACACAGATATGGGTAGTACTAGGGGTTTATGTTACACAGAAACACTAATTGTGATAGCACCATGGGTACATGTAATACAGAAACACAGATATGGGTAGTACTAGGGGTTTATGTTACACAGAAACACTAATTGTGATAGCACCATGGGTACATGTAATACAGAAACACAGATATGGGTAGTACTAGGGGTTTATGTTACACAGAAACACTAATTGTGATAGCACCATGGGTACATGTAATACAGAAACACAGATATGGGTAGTACTAGGGGTTTATGTTACACAGAAACACTAATTGTGATAACACCATGGGTACATGTAATACAGAAACACAGATATGGGTAGTACTAGGGGTTTATGTTACACAGAAACACTAATTGTGATAACACCATGGGTACATGTAATACAGAAACACAGATATGGGTAGTACTAGGGGTTTATGTTACACAGAAACACTAATTGTGATAACACCATGGGTACATGTAATACAGAAACACAGATATGGGTAGTACTAGGGGTTTATGTTACACAGAAACACTAATTGTGATAACACCATGGGTACATGTAATACAGAAACACAGATATGGGTAGTACTAGGGGTTTATGTTACACAGAAACACTAATTGTGATAACACCATGGGTACATGTAATACAGAAACACAGATATGGGTAGTACTAGGGGTTTATGTTACACAGAAACACTAATTGTGATAACACCATGGGTACATGTAATACAGAAACACAGATATGGGTAGTACTAGGGGTTTATGTTACACAGAAACACTAATTGTGATAACACCATGGGTACATGTAATACAGAAACACAGATATGGGTAGTACTAGGGGTTTATGTTACACAGAAACACTAATTGTGATAACACCATGGGTACATGTAATACAGAAACACAGATATGGGTAGTACTAGGGGTTTATGTTACACAGAAACACTAATTGTGATAGCACCATGGGTACATGTAATACAGAAACAGAGATATGGGTAGTACTAGGGGTTTATTTTACACAGAAACACTAATTGTGATAACACCATGGGTACATGTAATACAGAAACACAGCTATGGGTACTAGGGGTTTAATGTAACATAGGAACACTTATTGTGATAGCATCATGGGTACATGTAATACAGAAACACAGCTATGGGTACTAGGGGTTTATGTTACATAGAAACACTTATTGTGATAACACCATTAGTACATGTAATACAGAAACAGAGATATGGGTAGTACTAGGGGTTTATTTTACACAGAAACACTAATTGTGATAACACCATGGGTACATGTAATACAGAAACACAGCTATGGGTACTAGGGGTTTAATGTTACATAGGAACACTTATTGTGATAACACCATGGGTACATGTAATACAGAAACACAGATATGGGTAGTACTAGGGGGTTATGTTACACAGAAACACTAATTGTGATAACACCATGAGTACATGTAATACAGAAACACAGCTATGGGTAGTACTAGGGGTTTATGTTACATAGAAACACTTATTGTGATAGCACCATGGGTACATGTAATACAGAAACACAGCTATGGGTAGTACAAGGAGTTTATGTTACATAGAAACACTTATTGTGATAGCATCATGGGTACACTGATACACTGATATGGGTAGTACTAGGTGTTAATGTTACATAGAAACACTTATTGTGATAGCACCATGGGTACACAGAAACACAGATATGGGTAGTACTAGGGGTTAATGTTACATAGAAACACTTATTGTGATAGCATCATGGGTACACAGAAACAGAGATATGGGTAGTACTAGGGGTTTATGTTACATAGAACACTTATTGTGATAGCATCATTGGTACACAGAAACAGAGATATCGGTAGTACTAGGCGTTTATGTTGCACAGAAACACTAATTGTGATAGCATCATGGGAACACAGAAACAGAGATATGGGTAGTACTAGGGGTTTATGTTACACAGAAACACTAATTGTGATAACACCATGGGTACATGTAATACAGAAACACAGCTATGGGTAGTACTATGTGTTTATGTTACATAGAAACACTTATTGTGATAGCACCATGGGTACATGTAATACAGAAACACAAATATGGTAAAAACTAGGTGTTCAAATCACAAAGAACACAGGTGGTGGTACTGTTTTAGTACTAGTCATATATACATCACAGAATACAAAATGATAGTAGAACAGGGATACATTTAACAGAGTAACACAAAGACAACAGTTTCTGAAGATATGTGTACCTTAACAATTCGCTTAGCATCCTTCATCTTCCATCTGAGTACAATGACTGCTATCATTGCCATTCCATAGAACAGCCAGCCAAGAAAGTTAAGCAGGTTCATAAGACTCGCTATCTCTGCAGGAATCATGTATACCACGCTGAGCGTCGTCTGGTAATAACAAAACAAATAATCACAAAACGGACTCTACAACGTAAAGCTCCAATATATAGGTGCTCACAATTCTCCAATTGATGAAATTGAAAACTCGAACACCTTTTAAAATTTTAAAACACTTAATTGTGACGTCATTTTGTAACGTTAAGGCTACATACTTACGTGATCTCTCGCAGCTTAAACTGATCATATTGATTCTGATGTTACTTTAAATGGTTTGTTTATAGAATACAGCTTTGAGGTGAATGCTTTCGTTAAAAGTTAAGCATCTACGGCCAATAACATTATGAAACCAACGTAACGAACACTCATTTAGTCAGATAGTTTTCAAAAGTTTGATTTGGCGATCAAAATCATTCACGTAACCATATTGCCCGCTACAAGCAGGTTTCCTTAACACGTGATATTATTTTTGTGTTTTGAAGTTTTCATTTCACACATTATTTTTTCTCAAGAGCTTGGAACATTTATCGGGATTCTTTTAGATACAAATGTTAATACATTCTAGCGACCAATAAATTAATGGGAAAACGTATCATTTACATTGTTTTTCTAGATATATATATTCTATTGGCCACTACATAAATGGGAAAACGTATCTTTACATTGTTTTTCTAGATAGATACATTCTATTGACTTATACATTAATGTGGAAACTTGACATTTAAATTGTTTTTCGAGATACATATATGTTATCGACAAATAAATTAATGGGAAAACCTGACATTAACAGTATTTATTTTCTTGATAAACGCGTTCTGTTGACCAATAAATTAATGGGAAAACCTGACATTTACATTATTTTACGATAGTTAATGCACCCCTCACTACCATACTATGAAAAATCCTGACGGGTTTGATTTCACGGTTATGGCGGATGTCACACGGGGTGCACGGAATCCTTGTCCCTTGGGACCACATGGTTTCGTTACTGGGGATTCTGATGTTTTCTGTTTGTTTTTGTTTGAGTTCGAGTTTTGATATCGTCTGTATGCTTCATAAGAATAACAAAAGAACGAACAGACTTGATTCCAGTTGGGATATTGACAAAAGTGCTGCCGAATAAAATATATACATTAGGCAGTGGCGGATTCCTGAAGCCCCAAAAAACCCATCTGGATCCGCCACTATTAGGCCCATTCCATCATGCACTACTTAAAGGATTATCTGAGCTCCTTTAATACTCACGAGGAGAAGAACCGACGGCAGTGGAATCAGACTGTGGACTTGTATATAAGAGCAAATTTCTGGCATATGCCCTTCCCTCGCAGCCTGGAACAACAGCCTGTTCGAAACAACGATCAAAATGAAAATATATATACAGAATAAAATATCTATTATATCTGTATTTGAATAGCGTGACGTCTTTTAAAGACGCCAATCAACATAGTAAGAAGCAAGGAGGTTGATATTATAATTTAAAGTACATATTGAATAATTAACAAGTGTTTAATACATTTTTATTTGTAATAAAAACTAGATCTGATAAAACAATGTTACACAAAGATATGTAATTGTTGTATTGGTGAAAGGTGTTTTGATAACTGAAATCAGCAGATCTTTCAAAACAAATTGAGCATAGTTATAATAATTTATAATTTAATCATTAGACGGGTTGATACGGGAAGACAAAAAGTGCTTGAAAACCTTCAGCTAATGATTTTGGCAAGTCTTATCTACCATTTAACTTATCCAGTGAAGTCATTGATAGATTTTGTCAGTTATGTGTTTATCAATTTAGTTTTGAACTTCAAATATCCAGGATTAAGCTAACCAGATCTAAAGGTAAGAAGCATCTTATTGAAAGTGATTAAGTTGTTTTGATATATACATTAACATTTCTTTAAGGTAATGTCTTTGCACATATGTCAATGAAATTCATTGTTAGCAATGATTCGAATTTAGAATGACCATTCTTTGTCTTGTTCACGTATGCATTTTTTTTGAGTTTGTTCTTTTATTTGTTTATCTAGCCAGACATTCAGTTCACTCTTTCATCTTTTTTTCCAGTCAGGCATTCATTCCAGGAAACATTTATATTTTTAAAATATTTCGATTTACAAATAATATTGGACTAATCCACGGTAAATTGGTTCATTAATAATGTCAATGTACATAAAATAAGACTTGCTATTTCATTATTTTTTACCGACACGTGAATGGTCCATTTATCCGAATTTTGATAAATATGGTACATACATTATGTGTCAATGTTAGTGTGTAACAAACGATACGAATTCAAAAGGAAACAATAACGATTCATATACAATATATATATATCACGTCATAATACATAAGATATGACGTAAATAAAGTCAACATAGTCACAGTTAAAGCCTTCAAATATTTTGACAAGAAGAGTTATACGAAGGGAAAATTTATGAAATATCTTGTAACACAACGAATCTTAAAAATTTGGTCTGTGTGACGGACATCTATTCAACTAAACTCATTAATCTGAGGCCAGTTGGTTGTTATTTAGTATAAATGCATTACATACAAATTGAAAATACCCATATCTCAATGCTAATTTCAGTTAATGGTCGACCGAGCCGTCAATGCAATTAAATTGTTGTTTTACAACTGTACTTTGGTACATACAATGTACTAGAGATACAATGCTTGTTTATGGAAATGACGATCGGAAAGATCCGCGATTTGATCATTCATTTTCCATTTTCATGCAATGTGTACTTAGAATATAATCAACCAGTATCTTTTTAAAAGTATTGTTTGCGTCTTACATTCAGCCATCTTACAACATTTAAATTAAAATACCATCTAGAAATTTTCTAGATTTAAATCTGAAAAGAATTTGTTGTCGGCTTGAAAGCATTGCTACAATCGCATGATGATTGTACACTACACACCGCGTGGAGGCATACGATCCCCAAGTTTCGCGGTGGCGTTCTATAGAGTGGAGGGGAGATATAAACAAGAGGCCCAATGGGCCTGCATCGCTCACCTGGTATTAATCTCACACTTGTAATCTGAAAAGTGGACTCAAACAAGAGTTGTTGACCTCTGTGACCTCTAATGTAGGTTGAGGTCATTTCCATTCGCAAACTTTAGTGAGCTGTATCCCAGGAAGACACAAGCCAAATATTTTATGCCTTTCAATTATTCAGAAGAGATCATTTGATGTTTTTGACATATTTGACCCCTGTGACCTTGAATGGAGGTCAAGGTCATTTTCATTCTCAAACTTTGCCAGGCTCTATCTCAGAAAACCATTAGGCAATTATGAAGATTTTATACCTTTCAGTTCATCAGAAGAAGTCGCTTAAAGAGTTTGACATATTTGACCGCTGTGACCTTGAAAGAAAGTCAAGGTCATTTTCATTCTAAAACTTTGTTGGGCTCCATCCCAGGAAGCCACCAGCCAAATATGAAGATTCTATACCTTTCAGTTCTTAAGAAAAAGTCGTTTGAAGGGTTTGACATATTTGACCCCTGTGACCTTGAAAGGAGGTCAAAGTTATTTTCGTTCTCCAACTTTGTCGGGCTCTATCCCAGGAAGCCACCAGCCAAACATGATTTTATACCTTTCATTTCTTCAGAAGAAGGAAGAAGTCGTTCGAAGTTTTTGACATATTTGACCCCTGTGAAGGTCATTTTCGTTCTCAAACTTTGTTGGGCTCCTGCCAACAAAGCTTTCAGCCAAATATCATGACTCTAAGCCTGTCCGTTCTTCAGAAGAAGTTGTTTAAAGGAAAAGTTGACGGACGACGGACGCCGCACCATGACCTAAGCTCACTTGCCCTTCGGGCAGGTGAGCTAAAAAGTCAACTCCACTCTCAAGCGTGGATAATATCCCATCCACTCTCAACCGGCTATACACGTTTGTTGCGAACGTGGATTGAGCGTGGATCGGTGAGCGAGATGACTCCACGTTACATCTTTGTACCGCGTGGAGGAAACATGGATGTGCATGTTCATGTATAGTTTAAACATATTTTATTTGAATAATTCAAAAGGAATTGGACACAAAGTTATTACAACTTAAAAACGTCATTTTCCATTAACAATTGCATAATTATTTCAATAATGCAATGGGCAGTATTCTATATACAATAATATTTATACCTAAAAGTAACATTAATATACATAGATGGACATATTTATTTATTACATACCAGTACCCACTTCAGTGACTTTAACATGATTTACAATTACAGTTTTAATAATTTGGCAAAGTAATGTCGTAATGATACAAGCATTGTTTTGTCCATATAAATAAATGCACTTCTGGTCTGTATAGCATGTTTGAAACGTTTAACATGTAAGACCACAGTTACCTTAAAATTAAGTCAAGTGTTCCGCAACCGTTTAAGGTATCTGCTGGTCAAATATTAAGACTACTTGGCACAGGTGGTACATACAAATAGTTGATAGACTACTGACGTACCATATACCACAGCATAGCATTACAGACACTTCGAGGCAAGTGAGTCAAAGTATTTGATATACAATAAAACACAGTAACTTGAAACTAAATAAAAAGACCACAACAGGATATGAGAAGAACCAGGGTTAAAAAATTACTGAGACTGTGATAGGTGTTGCGGAAAGTTAAACGCATTTTACATCATATTATGTAATACCTGTCGTAATGTCTATCATCTTGTTGAAGGTCAACAGCTTTCTAAACTCCAATGAGTATGTTTTAAATTGTTTATGCACTGGAATGCTTTAGCTGCAAATGCAATCAAAATCCGAAACTCTTTGTTATGATAAAATTAACCTTATTTTTTAATATTCAGTGAGGCGACAAGCCGGTAGACATTTACGGTGGCCCGTTAGAGCTATAAAATGAAAATGATTTATTAATGACTGCCACTGATTTATCTGGAAACGAGGCCGCCAATTGCTTATCACACGGAAGTTTATAAATCTATAATTTATTCATTTACTTTTGAAATATGCAACAGAAGTCTTAAAAAATCTTCACAGATTCAATTAGACGATGAAAAAAATACTGTTGCCCGTTTCATACAATGTACGTGCGCGCACCTTCTTATACACATTTAAAGGCATTCCGGTTCACCTAAATTGATCCGTTACGATACTTCAACACGGATTCCGACATCATCAGTATCGTACGAGAATCTACATGTCATCAAGCCAACAACAGCTGGTAACTGTAAGTCAGTTATTCCTCTGAATTTAGTGTCCTTAAACTGTCGCTCGGTGTCCGAATGCCCCGTGGCATAATGAAAATATCCGCGTAGAAAAACAGAACCATAGAAAAGCAGAGAGACAGTGGCGAAGGACCAAATTAACCGTTCACCAACAGTTTTACAGGGAACAATGTCGGCTAGTTGGTTCACTTCTCATTCAGTCAAAAAAGGCTTATTATTTCGAAAGAATATAAGAATGTAGTAAAGACCATAGACAGTGTTTTAGACTCACCAAAACTTAACAGGTCAGAATGGTGAAATTATCCTATCAAGCTGTAGTTCTGAAAAAGACTGGTCAAACAAGTTCAGTGATTACTTTGTGAATAAAATCAGCTCGATCAGGAAAAATATATCGGAAGTGAACTCTACTGCTGACAATGATATCTCTGTCATGACTGCTGACCTCAAATTTGATGGGGAATCATTGCCAAAGCTCTCACCATCAACCCATGACGTGTTGTGCAATATCATCACGACCTCGCAATCGAAGTCCTGTGAGCTTGATCCACTGTCTACACACCTATTAAAGCAATGTCTTAAAGCACTGCTTCCTTTGATTACCTAAATCATGAACAAATCATTGGCTGAGTCGAAGGTTCCATTGTGTTTCAAGAAGGCACATGCTAGACCATTGTTGAAGAAGTCTGGAATGGACAAGGAGGAGTTGAAGAACTACCGCCCAGTATCAAATCTGCATTTTCAGTCTAAGATCGTGGAGAAGGTTGTGTTCCGGCGTTTAGAGGTTCATCTCCATGCAAACAGTCTCCATGATAACCTGAAATCGACCTTCCGCATGGGACATTCTACTGAGACGGCCCTCCTACATGTACATAATGACATAGCTTCTGCATTGGATAACAAGTGCAGAGCGGTGCTTGCCATGCTGGATTTGTTAGCTGCATTTGACGTCATCGACCATGGCATACTTTATAAACGCCTGGAGTACTCTTATGGAGTGAATGATACCGCATTATGCTGGATACAGTCTTATCTGAGTGAACGACGACGACAGAGTGATTCCGTCGGATCTACCACCTCACATGACAAAGTACTAGATTTCGGGTTTCCTCAAGTGTCGGTGTTAGGACCACAAAAATATTGCCTATACTCCAATCCGATCGGATATATTTGTCGTCGCTATAGCCTTCGGTATCATTGCTATGCTGATGACACACACATTTCCATGGTCATCAAACTACAGTACAGTTGAGATACAATTACAGAAAATCTGAAAGCTTGTATGACAGATATCAGTACCTGGATGAACACCAACATGCTAAAGCTTAATCAGGAAAGGACGGAACTAATCGTCTTTTCCACAAAGTGTCAGCAAAGAATTGCTTTCCAGCTCAAAGACTGCGCCACGACTGTTGAGACTTTCCCAGCCGTTAAAAACCTAGGGGGATACTTTGATTTTTCATTGAAAATGGAGAAGCAATTGAACGCTATTATCAAATCCTGTTACTACCAGATCAGTAACATCGGCTATATCCGGCAGTGTATAATTGCAGATGCATGCAATAGTTTCGTGCATCCACTTGTTACCTCTAGGTTGGATTATAGTAACGCCCTGCTTTGTGGTATGTCTGACATACTAACTAGTCGTCTGCAGAGGGTTCAGAACACTGCAGCACGGCTGGTTACTCGTACTCGAAAGAGAGAGCACATCACACCTGTGCTACATTCATTACACTGGTTACCTGTACGATAAAGGTCGCCGTACACAATTTGGTGTACATATACAAGGCACTGAATGGAACAGCTCCCCAGTACCTTCATGAGCTTGTTACCTTGTATCAGCCGTCACGATCACTGCGGTCGGAGTCAGAATCATTGTTGTGTATCCCAAAATCTCGTACTGTGACCTATGGAAACCGGTGCTTTGGGAGGGTTTCGGCCACGTTATGGAATAGCTTACCATCTGCTATTAGAAAGTCAAATACCCTGGCCAAATTTAAAAAAGACATAAAACTCACCTCTTCATGTCTGCATTTTTGGCTCTTTGCAAAGACGTCATGCAAATACCAGCCTTTAATTATTTATTGATGTGCACATTGCGATGATTATCTGCTTGCTTAATGTATACAAGTGATTGTAAGCCTTTGTTTATTGTTTCACAATTATAACTAATTTTATATCATTCTATTATCCATTTGGTGAAAAAGCGCTTTGGAGTTATTTTACAAATGATATAGGGCGCTTGCAAATTATCATCATCTTTTTGTTAATATATTAAATTGTGAAACTTTGTATACAGCTCTTTGTGGTTTTTTTCCACTCTATGCCATTGGCACACCGAGCCTGGGCGTAGTAGGTGCTGATACAACTGGGTGGCGCCACTTCGAAAACCTTTGAAATTAGAACACAACGCGAATGTGTGGCGACACCCTCTTGTAAATGCCCCTAGCCCTACGACACCAATACGGAGACATATTACTACTGAAAGTCTAGTGAAACATTATTTATTATATTCAATGTATAAAAAAGTGTTAAAAATTTGAAAGTCTGACAAAACATTACCTACTATACACATACTTACATATAGAGGTACCTATATATAGGAGTTTTTTTAAAAGGGTATTTATCTAAACGCGTATCATGAAATATGTTTGAACGAAACTGTGTTGCATACCCTCATAAATGTTAAAAAGATGCTTTTCAAACTTTAGATTTACGTTCTATTACATCCGCTTTTATTATTTTAAATTTAAAAAAAAAGGTATTTTTTTAAGTTGAAAAGCAAAACACCGTCATAAAAAACACATTAATTGAACAGCCGTTTTCGCGGGAAAGATGATGCGTTGTCAACGGTGACGAAATACACAGTTGAGCAATAAACAAATAGTTCCACTTGGCATTTTTTTTAATAGTTTAATTTATATTACCAGCATGTTTAACAAGCATTGCTCATTTGGGTGTAGTACTGTTAATATTACTACACACTTGCTTTAATTGAATCATGCAAACATTTTGAGTTTGAGTTGGTACTGTTATCTAGAGGCACTGCAACACAAATGTAAAGTTAGTAAAATATGAATAGTTTTATACTTCATATGACAATAAGAGGAGATGATCTATTGTTAATGAAAACGCTTACCGTGAGTTGGTAAAACTCGCTCCATTGCTTGAACCGTACACTGAACAGATAACAACGATTGGTATGAAGATAACAGCGGGACTAATTACCTGCTCTGCCCAGGTCTGAAAATAACCCGAAATAATATTAAGCATGAAGCAGCAGTGGATGCAAAAGGAAAACAGCGATAATCGAGAAACACTTCAACATAAGGGAAGTCCTCATGATCCCACATAAAAAATTGGAAGTGGTTGTTGGATATATCTATATAAATATATGTCATTATTGAAAAATATATACAATTATTCTTTTGGATAGTATGGCGGTACAGTATTATACGATATGCAATCGTAATTCGGTGTTGTATCTGTAAAGTGCCTTTAATGTTCTAATGATAACAATAACACATTTATTCTGCTAGGTAAGCTGAACTTTGGCCAAGGAACATTTAATTGAACATGACTATTAAATTCGAAAGCCGTTACAAATTGACCGCTGTAAAAAAGGATATAACAGGTGTAGTACGTGATACATGTAACGTATTACAAGAACGATTCCTTATGACTAGATACCGGATATACTCACGCCCCATACTAATATCTTACTTTACCCCGGGCTATTACGAGATCAGTAACCACTTACCACGCCCACAGCCCATGATGACAGAAACTCAGATTTTGTCAGGACAGCGAGATAGGACACGTTGACCAGTAGGTAAACAGCGGTGACCAGCAACACTGATATTACGATGGCCAGAGGCAAATTCCTTGCAAAATAATAATTTTGTTGGTCATTTTATTTAATACAACTGTAACAAGGAATTGAGATAATCAGGTCAGTTGAAATATTTCTTTGAACATACATCTGACTGACAAAATTGGTACTTTGAACTCACTTTGTCAACGAAATATGACCTTTTATACATTTGCTGACGATTTGCACACTTATTTTCATTACTGTAAACTGTTTCACCGAATATTCAGCATGATATCATGTCAGTGCTGGGTTTTATATACATATATATGGCTACCGTCATATTTATTTATTTTCCTTTAAAATTAGCGGTATAAAATCGTACCTTTTAGGATTTTGTATTTCCTCTGTGACAAAATTCAGACCTCCCCTACGAAAAAAGAAAAAAAAACCTGGATTTTTAATTATCTCGCAGGTTCTGAAAAACTCATTAATATATATTTACCTTATCATGGCATTGCCACTAAATAACCCTTCCAAATTAAGTTGGCATTCATATAGGCTATGAATGCCATGACCGATTGATGACGTCATTATTATGACATCATAATTGTTACGTAGGATACTACTGACCCTCCCTGGGCGATGGCTGTTCTATTCATATTCTATTATGTTCTATTCAACACAACTCGGCAGGGCATCGGATTAGACAAAAAAACACATCACCCCTCGGGTTGGAGATTTCTCTGTCACACCCTCAAGGTAGGGGGAGATTCTATTAGTCATGACTGTTGACATTAAATTTGATGGGAAACCGTTGATAAAGCTCTCACCAACAACCCATGACGAGTTGCGCATTATCATCATGACCATGCAATCTAAGTCCTGTGAGATTGATTCACTGCCTACACACCTATTAAAGCAATGTCTTGAAGCACTGTTTCCTTTGATTACCTCAATCATGAACAAATCATTGACTGAGACAAAGGTTCCATTGTGTTTCAAGAAGGCACATGTTAGACCGTTGTTGAAGAAGGCTGGAATGGACAAGGAGGAGTTGAAGAATCAACGCCCAGTATCAAACCTGCCTTTTCTGTCTAAGATCTTGGAGAAGGTTGTGTTCCGGCGTTTAGAGGTTCATCTCCATGCAAACAGCCTTCATGACAACCTGCAATCGGCCTACCGCATGGGACACTCTACTGAGACGGCCCTCTTACATGTACATAATGACATAGCTTCTGCATTGGATAACAAGTGCAGAGCGGTGCTTGTCATGCTGGACTTTTGACGTCATCGACCATGGCATACTTTATAAACGTCTGGAGTACTCTTATGGAGTGACTGATACCGCACTGTGCTGGATACAGTCTTATCTAAGTGAACGACGACAGTGTTGCCATAGGATCTACCACCTCACATGACAAAGAACTAGATTGTAAGGACCACAAAAATATTGCCTATACTCCAAACCGATCGGAGAGATTTTTCGTTGCCATAGCCTTCGGTATCATTGCTATGCTGATGACACACAAATTTACATGGTCATCAAACTACAGGACAGTTGGGATACAATTACAAAAAATCTGGAAGCTTGTCTGACAGATATCAGTACCTGGATGAACACCAACATGCTAAAGCTTAATCAGGAAAAGACGGAACTAATCGTCTTTTCCCTTAAGTGTCAGCAAACAATGGCTCTCCAGCTCAAGGTCGGTGCCAGGACTATTGAGACTGTCCCAGCTATTATAAACCTAGGGGTATACTTTGATAGTTCACTGAACATGGAGAAACAAGTGAACGCTATTGCCAAATCCTGTTACTACCAAATCAGTAACATCGGCTGTATCCGGCAGTGTATAACTGCAGATGCATGTAAGATTTTGGTGCATTCACTTGTTACCTCTCGGTTTGATTATGGTAACGCCCTTCTTTGTGGTATATCTGACAAACTAACAAGTCGTCTGCATTGCATCCAGAACACTGCAGCACGGCTGGTTACTCGTACTCGAAAGAGAGAGAGAGAGAGAGAGAGCACATCACACCTCATCGATACAGGTCGCAGTACAAAATGTTGGTGTACACTTACAAGGCACTGACTGGAACAGCTCCCCAGTACCTACATGAGTTTTTTTTACCCTGTATCAGCCGTCACGATCACTGCGGTCGGAGACAGAATCATTGTTGTGTGTCCCAAAATCTCGTACTGTGACCTATGGAAACCGGTGCTTTGGGAGGGTTTCGGCCACGTTGTGGAATAGCTTACCATCTGCTATTAGAAAGTGAAATACCCCGGCCAAATTCAAGAGGGACATCATAACACCCCCTACACGTCTGCATTTTAGGCTCAAAGCGTCATGTAAATACCTCCATGTATTTATTTATTATGTGCACATCGCGATGATTATCTGCTTGCTTAATGTATAAAGGTGATTGAAAGCCTTTGTTTTTGTTTCACAATTATAACTATCACTATTATCCATATGTTGTAAAGCGCTTTAGATTTATTTTACAAATTATATAGGGCGGTATATAAATGTTGTATATTAATATTATTATTACACGATACATACATTACTTGAACTAAATGCTGAATAATAATAAATGTAATTGAATTTTCTATGAGATAAACATATTCCAAAAATCGGTTAATATAAGTATGGAACTGCTTTTAGTTGGCATTCAAAGTCAATATGAATACCAACTGGACAAAGGCAAATTCAGTGTAACGCGCTATCGAGTATGAATGCAAACTGAAAACAGTTCAATGCTTAAATAACCGCTTTCATATTCGATATATGCTTGTTGAAATTTAAAGTGAAAATTAAATAGAAATAAAATCTTAATTACCATTCCTTCAATACCCAGAATTTATTCAACATATATAAAAAAATGTTCTTTTGCTCCAGATGACCTTTGATCTTCACTGCAAACGTTTGTGTATATGTAATCTAGTAATAACGTACCATCCATCGTAAGCCCACAGGCCACTGTACACAGCCAAGGCTACGTCCTGAACGTCATTTGTTGTACCGTCGAAGCCGGTTACAAGACTTCCAAATTTCCCTAAAGACAATTATACATGGAGCCAACTTATAGAGTCATGCGCAAATTTAAACTGAAAAGAAGTCTATTTTGTTATTCTGTACAAACGTACAAAGTTGACAAAATATCTTATCATTGATTCATTTAACAACAAATTTCCATGGTAGATGATTTAGAGTGTACTTTGTCCTTTTCGTTTTGTTGTCTCTACCCCATTTCTTTCTATGGTGATGTGACATAATTTGGATTTGACCTATTTTTACAGCGCGGGTGTTATCGACGAAGCAGAAGATGCTTACTATCCCTTACTCATGATCTTATCCTTCTTGTTATTTTTCAAGAGATTCCAGGAAAATTTGTTCATATTTTGTCTTAGTTTTATCGATTTTGGCCACAAGGGTATCGTACAAAACGTTTTAGATCCTATCATTACCGATGAGTGCTAGATGAACGAAACAGCGGTATGGTGCAGTGCAACTCATTGTGGGTATACTGTACCTATAGGAACACTCCTGTGTGTGTGTGTGTGTGTGTGTGTGTGTGTGTGTGTGTGTTGTGTGTGTGTGCGTGAGTGTGTGTGTGTGTAACGTTCATCCTTTTATGAAGGAAGGAGATACTTTATTTTTTTGTTTTAGATTGAAGTTGAGATAGCCTTTCCCAATACGATTCATGGATGACGCATGCATGCCTGGGTAATAAATGTATAGAAAGCTTAAAACGTGCCAGAATTATATTTTGGAAAGAATAATCAGAAAGCATAATATCTAATAATAGAACCTTCGTCAAATGTTAGCAGACATAGTAAAACCACAACTTACCCGTTGACATCCACCAGATCCCTCCAACAATGATCACCACCAGTCCCAACAGTTTGACAAACGTAAAAAAGATCTGGACTCGAGCAGCGAGGCGCACACTGATACAGTTGGTAATCGCTACAGATACTGTTAGGAATGCAAGCGAAAAATGCCAACTCAAACGCAGTTGTTTCTAGCAAACCGCAGTCGAAATTTATTTATTCAATTAACTAAAAGGAATTGTATTTTTATAACTTATAAATAAGCTCACATAAACCGTTTGAACAGTTTTGAAAATATCATATTTTCTTAGTTGTCATGGAAATATACAGATACATATTCTATTTCCTGATAACTATTTACCATCACACATATTTTACATAAAGTGAACTTTATGCCATTTTAGATTTATTGACCAGAAGTATCTGTGTTGAAGTATATTTCTCTTACATATTCTTTACTTTAAAATGGATTACTAATTACACATTGCTGTCGAGAAAATATTCATATTTTGATAAATAAAAAGGTTTCCATAAGTCTTACGAGTCTTATGCACAGACAACTGAAACTTCATGATTTCATATATTGCATATTTTTTAAGGAAAAAATATGGCGAATTGAGTTTTTATAGAATACTGTGTAAAAACTGCCTTTCATTGTTTGAAACTGAATTTCATTGTCTCACATTTTACATAGCCATTAAATTTTATTGAAATAAACGAATACTTTTATGTTTCTCAGGTGAACCTGAATACTCACCTATAGCCGTTATGGCTATGATCTTTTTCATATTTGGTGATGGCCCACAGCCGTCGAAGATGACTTCTGAAATATACTCGGACAGGGTGAGAGCTTTTACGGTCATACTACCCGGCATAACGGCACAGGCTTGGGTCCATACGTACATGAAGGCAACGAACGATCCGTAGGTCTTCATGAAGTATGCATGTTCGGCACCAGATTTCGGAATCAGAGTTCCTAGCTCTGCATATACCAATGCAGCTGTGGAAAAAAGAGAAGTTCAGACCATATCCCTAACGAGTAATGGCAGGGATATCCCTTATTTTCATACTTAAAACATTGATTAAGAAAAAGAGAGCAAAGTCTATCTACGTTTGGTGTTTTGCAATTTGGATATTGTGAAGAAAATTTTGAGTAGATGTTCACTACTCTTAAATCTAAATATCACAATCACAATAATAACACATACGGGAGTAACGTACACTACTCTATTCCACATGTCTTATTGAGAGAGGAGTTTAAAACAGGAGAGTATAATACTATAGGTCTATTCAAAAACATTATCTTATATGCTGGTATACCATTGAATTGCATTTTAGTTATTGTGTGTTCCTGCAACGATATGTATACTCTTCCTTAATTATATAAAGGATATGCCTGAAGCTGTTGAGTAATTTTAACTATATGTTATTAACTGATGTCCATACGATATATTTATGATCAGAGCTTCATTTGTATGAGAAACGTTAATTTAAAAACAGATTTCCACAATGTTTGGGCAGTTAAAAGCATTCTTATCTAGTTTACCGTGCTACCATGGTTATGTAATTTATTTCTAAAGCATTTTATTTTGATACAAATTTCAGTAAATTGTAAGGTAACGATAACCAATTGATCTATAGGTGGGGTTCATTTTCAAAGGAATGGGTCGCAGGATCTACCTCTGTTTGCATAAAATAAACATATTCCAGTTGATCGAGAATGAAAAGCATATGATAGTTTTGTTCCATTACATGTAAGTGTAACGAAAGCTACATAAGAAATTTCTTTATCACCAAAATGCTAATTTGTATCTTCCTAAACGTTAGATATTGCTGAAGATCAGAGCAAAACCCGTCTTTACATTTAGTCTATTGAATAATTAATCTAACATACACTGTACGTTTAAAATGTAGATGAATAAATTTGAATTTATTCTAAGGAAACGTGCTCAAATATAAATGTATCACTTGAAATCATAATAATTGCGTTTATAAAGGAGAATACGTACCGCTTACGGAAGTCATACAATTTATAGCAAAGCTCTGGTTACATTTAAAATAGTATCCACAGTTTTGAATAAGTACCTACCTTGTAAGAAACCCACTTACCACACATAGAAATGACGCCACACAATACCCAGGTGACCAGACAAAGACCAACCGACTGGGTTTTTGCCAAGACATTTCTCGGTGATATAAAGATTCCTGACCCTACAAACAACAAACGGTTGAATTATTGGTAACATGGAGTTAATTTATACAATTAAATAAAAAAAAAAACATAACAAAAATATTAATAACGAAACCTGTTGCTTTGGATTTTTTCCTGGTCATTGTTCGAATTTTATTAAATTTATAAAACACAAAAATTATAATGGATAAAGTAATAATCATATATACGTGATCATTGTCAACAGATTTGCTACCATTACCTGCATATGTTGTATCACATTCACACCATAAGCGTCAGTGCAAATATTGGTTATTAGATGATAAAAAACAGGTATAAGCAATTTCATTGGTTATATACGAACTCATTACGAGGTATTATGAGCTCATAACATTCAGCAATGACGTCAGAAAATAGAGAAAACAATTACGTGACGTCAAATGCAAATCAAAACCGGCGAAAGGGAGGCCTGCTGAAAGGGATGCTTCCGGTCTGGTTTAGGTAAACGGGGAAACCGATGTTCATTGGGTAATGGTGTAAAGAAACCCACAACTCGTAACGGATTTTGTGTGTTTTATTAATAAAAATACACCTACATTATCTACGATATTGTGTTGCTATGGAAACGTTTAACATTAGAAATAATCGAGACTATTTACATTTCTGATTTTGTGTGTCTATAAATATGTTTAATCAAACATCAGGGAATTATATCGTCCATGTCTGCAATAAGAAAAGTGTGATTATTTCTCAATGTTTGACTTCATCATCTTTTGTATCTGATTGAAAAAGATGTAATTTATAAAAAAAAATGATTCAGTGGTCCTTGTTTTTTTTCAAAGTTTACACAAGTATAGGAAGAAGAAGTGACGATAAATAAGCAAAAAGACTTAGAAAGCTAGACTTTAGGTTTTTGAGTAAGTGTTGACAAGTGGTCCCTTGGAAGTAACCGCACTGGATGTATACAATAACATAATGTAATAAACTACTAAGTACACACATCTTACACATTGTTTGCTGACGGCAAATAAATATTCATCCATGTCAGACACATTGCCTTTGAGAAGTGGGTCAATATTATGCAAAAACATGAACTGACTGTTTGCATGGGTCTTGTTATGTTTTCGCTGTAAATATCTCCTTGATTGTATGTACATAGTATTCTATTAGATGGTCAGACAAGGCCATATGAAGCTAAAATACATATTTTGAAGTGGTTCTATACCATGGGTGCATACAATAATACATATGTAATTGCTTTGTATATATTTAAGCAATAAACTGCATAGTTGTTGCAGACCAACTGGTATAACTGCCACATGTGTCACAGACAAACTGAATGGTGCGCGCTACACATGTGGCAGTTATACCAGTTGGTCTGCCACATCTATGCAGTTTATCGCTTATATTTATATTTCCATAATGAGATTCGCAAAAAATAATTTATGTCTTTTCCAAATTTCAAATTTCCCGCTTATTACCGTCATGTCAGGTCAATATCTAGAACGGCACAAAAATAACAGCTGACGTCACGCGCTATTTCCCATACACAATTGAAATGACTCCGCAACTTTCTTTAATTATTCATTTGTTTTTAATTTATATATATATCATATTCTCGATTCATACAAAGTAACAAATAACATTTTGTAAGTAACTAATCAAGTGTCGTAAAACATTTTCCGATTTTATTGCGACCTATATCCGGCGCACGCACTCAACGGAAGTCTGCAGTAATCAGGTCAGAGTTATATTTGAAGTCCGGCATGTTGTTGATGTTGATCGTGCAACCGGAGAAGGTTGAATTTATGAAAAATCCAGGCATACAATTGTTTGTTGATCACACAGACACTTGAGACAGGCAGCTGGTGTTCGGGATCAAAGCAGAAGATACCGATAAGTTCGGTAGTGACACTGTTAAGTCGCTCGGAGGTGCACTGACCAACTTCAGTTATAGTCTCATAAGATGAAGCTGCTATTGGCAGTACGTTAGTAGTAATATAGAAGGGCTTTGCCACACCAAATGTAAATATATGTATATAATTTTCGAAATAATTCATAATATATCCTTCCCTGATGATATAACTCTTTTTGTTAGTTTCAGTGTAAGTTTGCAAAATAGTTGGAAGAAATCTGATGATTATTGTAAAAAGAGAGAATTCATAAGTTATGTCAATAACTACAAAGTGATGGTGTTAAGAATGAGAAGCCACTTTCTAGAAACGTTTATGTGTAGAGGAGAGGCAAAATCAGTCAAAAGTTTTGATTTTCTGGTTATTTCAACACCCCGTAGGTCTTTCCTGACTTAAATGACTTTATCAGATCAATTTTTGTTTCAATTATGGACAAATGATTAAAACGTATCAATTATTCACCAAAACCTGCTTATGGATTATTTCATAATCTTTCCCGTGTTTTTCCCACGTTGTGTTATGGATACGGGATATAGAAATTTCATTTGGTAATGTCGATTGAAATATTGCATTAAAATTTCGTGAGTGCGTATTAGGAGGTAAATATTCAACTCAGGAAATTTCTTTTATGGGGAACTTTGATGAATGCCTCTTAAAAATACCAGATGTACAAAAATGATTTAAATACTGCTTGAAAATTATTCACAATCTGAAGAGATTACATGTGAAGCCAACTTATAGCAGTTCGGTATAAGTTGAATTGTAAGTTCGCAATCTGGGGAAGAAGTGCTTAACAGGGGCAGCAACCCCATATACCCATAGGTCATCAGACGAGATAATTTAAAGTAAACATGTTAATAAGATTTTAACAACAGTGATAACGGTGAAAGTTTGCAAACACCGCCGGTATTCAAAGGCGATTTTTATAACCGTTGAAAATATAATGAGAGCTAATAAATGTATATATATTTCATTTACTGAAATTAATTTTCGATAAGATTTTTTTTTCTTCTAAATATGTCTTCTTATTTATGATAAATCGACTAATGCAATATGGGTATGCATACGAATATTGGTATATTTTCTAGTGTCAAATATTATTTTCTAGTGTATTAGTGTGCTTCAGTAATGTACACTATAAATAAACTTTAATATGAAAAATAAATTGATAATATTTCAATCCAAAAACCATGTTTGATAGTTTGCACTCTTTGATGTAGATTTAATTTGTATTTTAATGTCAACAACACATATCAAATAGGTTTACAATATACTGATAGTTTATGATTGTCTTATTATTACATTATTATGCATTGAGTGTTTGCGTTCGAGGTTAAGCATGTACTTACCTATTATATTACCTACGATAAAAGAGACGGAGCTTAATAGACCAAGCCGTCTTTTGACCCTGCAATTCTCCGTCGTTACATTTTTCGCGGTCAGTGACATGTTCAAGGCTGCACAATAACCTAAATAGAGGCCTCGTGTGCTGCTGACGTCAGGTAAATATTTTTAGGCACGCTGGGATCTGGAACAAATATTGTTTGATACGATAACTTGCAAAATGTTTGATGATTAAAAGCATCATGTGGCAGAAGTAAGCATTACACGTGTCTGATCCTTAATTACTACGTCTACTATTGTTTTCAAACAACTTCCCAATACCCATGAATGTGATATTTTGTATTTTTACATGTTTTGATCATCTGAATACTTTCAATCGGTCAATTAAAGAAAAAAAAGATTGAAAATGATTGACAACACAAGATGTAAGATTAAATTAAACCCTCCAACTGGCATTCATCAGTTTCAAGAGCAGGGCGGTTAGCTGGCTTGTCAATGCCCTTAATATACATTTACTATACGAATACCTACTGCGTCACGAAAGTGCTGCTATGTCCAGGCAAACGTTGTGACTGAATGATGCTATAAGTTATCAGTGTGGAAGGTATTCCTTCCTGTTACCTGACTCCTGATCATAGACATACTATGAACATGTGACAGTATCTCGGGGAGGGCTCACTTCTCGGGGCCTGATAAGTTAATCACAGTAAACATTCATTGGTTAACAGGGACTCCCAGTGTTAACCCATTCCAGACACATGTGAATACAGGTACACAGTACCAGGTACGACTGACAATGATTACGCAATAACGTAAGTATATATACGAATTAATTCAATGTAAACTCACATGTAGCAAGACCTTTCACAAAATATTAGCATTGTAACAATAAGATTAACATTATCTTATTAAGCTATGATACGCTTGTGTGAGATTTGCATCCATCTGGGAGTGTAAAAGTCCTAATAATTATCATCTAATTGCCAAACTTTCAAAATGTTACCAAGATTCGACAAAATGTGTCACCTGACCAACAAACTGTGACAGTTAACTATGATATGAAAATACTGGTAATGCGGTCACCTATTTTTGGCTATACTTTTATGTAGATTCAAAATACCATTTTCTTTTGTTGTGGTATCTCATTGGTGCTGTTTGTATATTTTTCCAATCGAATTTGGTTTCTTTTATGTCTTGGTGTGTTACGCTGCGGTACATTTACCTGGCTTTCTATTCTACCTCCTCGATTAGATTTACAGTAATATTATCTATGGCTTATTTATTTTTAGGTTTGAAGTGTGGTGTTAAAATACAAACACAGGTCATGTAATTATAGGAATACTTTCTGTAGTCACCACTGAAATTTAAGTAAAACAGGAACGTAAACCAAATTTATGGTACCTATTAAAACACCTTGGTATATTGCAAGTCTTTCAAGCAAGCTGATATTCTAAATTAATCTTCACGATTATCATTTTACTGAGATTACCAATCGTATGTAACAGTTAAATATACACATTAGTGTCCAAACGCAAACATTAAATCTTTATGGGATATTGCTTTATTTGTCACAAAATGTATTGCTATACCACACCATCATATTTCAAGGTATGACAGCAGTTTTAGGGTAATTGAGTCTAACAGATTACCTATATTTACATATGTTTCTCTTTGGTCATGCCTACAATAAAACGCAATGCTATCTGACCTGTCTAGAAAACAGACCGGAACACCAAGACGCGTTACAAAAATTTAGACGTTATATAAATGCAAAATAAGGTGTAATGTATTTCAATGTTTAAATATCAACAAAGCTAAAACGACAGGTCATTCCGAGTGTGTTTATGTATACATAAATTGTCATTATGTGATGAAGCAAGAGCATGCTCCGGGTATCATGAATTCCGTGAAAGATGTCAACTGCTGACATACAAAATGACCACAGAGGGTTTCCAAAGATTCAGGTTGATGGAAACTATGGACAAGTGTTACGGTCGCCATCATATCTAATAGTGAAATATGCAAGTTTCTTTTGTGACAGTCTGTTTTTATTTTAAATTACGCTCATTAGTGTTTCTTATTTATTGTGGTCACTACGTCCGTTTTCTCCATGAGAATGTAGCGTTACTTGGATCTACCCTAGAATAATAAGGCCGGTCCCTTCGATGAAACAGAAGACGCGTACACCTCCAGAACACAATGTATTATTATCCTTGTACATTTTCTTTGGTCTCCATGGTAATTTTATTTTTATATTTTGCCCAAATTTGTATTACATCGAGTTCGAATTACGTTTAGTTTACACTTCCGGTTAAAATGCATTTTGATTTTTCCTTTTTATGTTACTGATTTACCTTGACAATTGGCAAGAAATAACACAATTGCAAAAATATAAAACTATGGACTATGACTAGCATTAGCATTAAAAAGTATCAATAAAAACCATAGCGTCAGTGACTACTATAACAACCACAGACGGAAATCACCGATTGTAGCCGTAGAAACCAACGTTATTAATAAAGAAAAACGGAAAGAAATCATTACTTCTAAAGACTTGCGTTGATAACTTTTGTTCCGTGGTTTGGCAACTTCATGTTTTTGTCTCCCGTCAAATGACATATGCCAACGTAAGTTTAGGTAGAAACACGATAAGAATAGTGTTGACTTGTTCTGAAAGGTTGTGATAGTATAACTGGACTAACTATATAAGCGCAGTTTTTATATCAGTTGCAAAGTGTCGTATCGTTAAAAAGCTGTTAGTTGATGTATGGTATATATCTATATGCTACCATTTTACATTTAGCGTATCTGTATTGACATGGTCTCAATTTTACGATTTCATTTGATGCCTATTTTTCCACATTTAACTTTCATTTATATAATAAAGTGTTAACAACCAATAACCCGGAGGTTATGCAAGAAAACTTAAACTTCACTTATTTACATTGACACTGGTCATATTATGCCCAAGTAGTTCCTTTCATGACTGATCATTACCATAAAGTACATTATCGTGTTGGTTTAAATATTTCGAAATATTCATGGTCATATCAACAAGCTATCAGTCGTTTACTTGGCGGTTTATAAATTAATCGCTGCTACCAGGTCAAGATGCACGTAATGGAGACATCGGGAAAATCAGGAAATATGTTTGCATTTTCACGCTCGTACCAAATCCCTATCATTTTTCATGGTTTTAAGAAAGTTGAAATATTTCAATCGTAAGTAACGTGATGGTACATAAACACCACCTCGAAGTCATTATGACAATCACCTCAAACATCAAAGTCAAAATTACACTGCCTAAAATATCGATCAAAATAATATAAACTAAAATTTCAAAATCAATATGACACTAAATCAAATATCAATCTCAATGTAACACCACCTAAAATATCAGTTAATATAACACTTCCTAAAATATCAATCAATATAACGCCACCTCATATATCAATCAATATAACATTATCTCAAATAAAAAAGTCATTATATCACTGCCTCAAATATCAATCAATATAACACTACCTTAGATATCAAAGTCAATATAACACTGCCTCAGATATCAATCAATACAACACCACTTCAAATATCAATGTTAATATTACCCCACCTCAAATATAAATGTTAATATAACTCCACCTCAAATATCAATGATAATATAACCTCACCACAAATATCAATCAATATAACACCACCTCATATATCAATTAATATAACACCACCACAAATGTCAAAGTCAATATTACGGCGCCTCAAATAACAAAGTCAGAGCAATACTGATTCAATTATCAAAGTCAATATAGCATCACCTAAAATATCAAGGCCAATATAACACAGACTCAAATATCAATCAATATAACACCACCTCATATATAAAAGTCAGTACAATACTGCCTTAAATATCAAAGTCAACAGAACAACGTCTCTAATATCAAAGTTAATATAACACCATATAACATGTCAAAGTCAATATAACACATTTTAAATATCAAAGTATATATGACAACACATCCAATATTAAATTCAATAAGGTTGATATTATTTTCTAAATTAGTAAGTGATACGATAAGTTTTGCAGTCGCAATTTATCGTACACATGTCCAAACACCTATGTATATATACCGTGAGTGCATTGTCAACGAAAGTAATCTTTTCTGCATATTTCCACACATAAATACACTCATTGAGACATCAGAAAAATGAAAATGGATATGGTATTACGTTGTGACGTCTCATTGAATACAGTATACATGTCTTTAAGATTGCGATATCAAATATTTCACAAAGATCAAAACTGAAGTTTTACATCGCACAGGGACAGCAAACAAATGGGTTGTCCTATATTTTGTTATGCGCAATAATTTATTATTATGAGTTGTGTATAATTTATTTTAATTGTGAAATAAAAAAAACATCTTATTATTGTCAATATTTATATATGCTATTAATCATCGTCAGCATAAAAACATCAATATAATTAAATATACTTGCGCACGCACTTACACAAGCCTACAGCATAAAGCTACATCGATAAGACAAGATTATACAAATGGACTTACCTGACTGCTGAAATAGGCCTCCTTTAATCTCACACGTCTTTGCCTCTGTGTAAGTGACAACTGTCTAGTCCACGGGAGGTTCTGCTTTCACATAAATAAATATGTAAACATGTTTGTATTAATTTACATGTACAAACTACACTACACATGTGTACAGTGTGTAAAACTATAGAAGTGAACTGATCTGTGAAGAATGTTCTTCTAGGCGTTTTGACAGATTAGTAGCCGGAAGGTACAAGATACAAGATACAAGAAGCTTTATTTAGAGTCGCATACATATCAACATGGAACATTAGCTCTTGAGGGCTATTTTTGCGACAAACACAAATATATAAAATAATAATAACATAATGTAATAGTATTAGTAGTAATGAGTTAATATAAATAGCATAGCAGACAATTTTTACATTACAGAAAAATACACGGTAATGTCACATTTAAGTTACAATCAATGGCACTATCTTTTAATAATATCACAAGGCTTGACACTTATTTATGTTATGTTATTTATATAAAATTCAGAGGTTTGACCCTTATTTATGAACGACGTGTTTCTACACTGCATGTTAAAACACTATCTGTAATCTATACAAGTGTTGTATAAATACATGCTAATATAGCAAAGGGTAAACATTGACTTGATATACACTAACATAGTGTGGATTAAAAAACAGCATTTCATATAGTAAAGAAGAATAAGATTAAGAGAGAGAAAACGAATAGTAACATAAGTAGTAAAACTTGATTCAATACATGAAATATTATATTAATCCCAGCAATTCATATCACAGTATATTTACCTAAAAATGTTAAACCTGATTTTAGCACTAAAATGGTTAAAAGTCAGCCAGCAGAGGTGCGACAGATTGAACAGCTATAGATGAGTCCACTCCAGGTGTGGATCATTCTCCTGAAACCCGGAAAGTTGTCTTCCTTCCGGAACTCATTTGGGAGAGTGTTCCACACCCTAACAGCCTCAAATGTGAAAGATTTATGTCCATACTTAACTGTTCTAACTCCAGGCACCTCTGCTGCATTCTCCTGTCTTAGATCATAATTCGAAGACTTTTACATTTTATAAGATCATGGATGTAATCAGGAGAAAGTTTGTTCAGAATTCCTTAAGTCTTCTTACATGTAAAACATCTGCATTTGACAATATTAAAAGTTCAGTAAAAGAGGAACAT